TGGGCTATGGACATCGTTGGCCCTTTATGCCAATCAACAAGTCAAAAATAGTATATCTTGATTATGACCGACTACTTCACAAAATGGGTTGAGGCCAAAGCGTACTCAGAGATTACCGCGCTAGACGTACAAAAATTCGTTTGGAAGTATACCATTTGCCGACACGGGGTCCCGCACGAGATCGTCACGGACAACGGACCACAATTTATTGCTGGAACATTCAATGATTGGTGCGCAAAGTTCAAAATCCGTCTTAGTTTCTCGACCCCGCGATACCCGCAAGGCAACGGTCAGGCCGAGGCAAACAACAAAACCATCCTAGATGGCATAAAGAAGCGTCTTGAGGCTAAGAAAGGCACTTGGGCGGACGAGCTCGACGGAGTCTTATGGTCGCACAGAACTACTCCCAGACGGTCGACCGGACAATCTCCCTTCTCTTTAGCATACGGCCTTGAAGCCCTCTGTCCGACAGAAGTGAGCATCCCAACATTGAGATACTCTGTTCTTTCCGAGAACCCCGATCTCAACGACCAGATGATGCTCAACAACCTCGACAGCCTGGAAGAACAGCAATGCTTAGCTCTCCTCCGAATCCAGAACTACCAAAAGCTCGCTGCTCGCTACTACAACAAGAAAGTGCGAGGTCGGCATTTCGATGAAGGCGACCTCGTTTTGCGCAAGGTGTTTCATAACACCGAGGAACTAAACGCAGGCAAGCTGGGAACGAACTGGGAAGGTCCTTATCAGATAATGCGAATCGTCAAGCTCGGGGTTTACGAACTCATGCAACTCGACGGAACGCCGATCCCACGATCATGGAACTCAGCCAACCTCAAGCGATATTACTACTAAGTCCCAGCTACCGCGAGCTCGGACCATTCATTGTACCACCACCAGCGATTCAAAAAAAAAAAAAAAAAAAAAAAAAACAGTCTGGCTCCTGCCGAACTCACCCCTGTAAACTGAACTACGAGTGGCTTGATCCCTTGCAAAAGGGTACGTAGGCAGCTCGATTTCGAGTCCAGCTACAAATCTAATAAAAATCCATCTTTTTCGTTTTATCTCCAACTCCACATACCGACTCCCCGGCCAGGAGATCGAACTAAGTATTCCCCATGAATACAATCTCAAAAGCCGAGATCTCGCCCGCACCCCCATGGTGCCCACTATTCAAAGCCGAAACCCAATCCGCACTCACTCTTCCGAATAGCAATCCGCCGACTGCGATTCAAGTTCAGAAAGTTTCCCGAGTTCGACCGCATCGTCACAATAACATCACGAATTCCAAATTTAATCAAAACAAACCGAACTCCCAACAGTTCGTAACGAAATATTAGAGGAAAATTCAAAGTAAAAGTCGAGATAAAGAAAAACCATGTCCATTTCATTAAATATCTGAAATTGCCGAACTAGACGGCAACAAATACAACGCCTAAAAATGGCGACCAAAACGAATCGATAAGTTAAAACCCGAGCTATGCGGGTAAGAAAGTCTTTACAACAACAAAATAAAACTAAGGAAAACTAAGAGAATCATTGGCGAGCGACGGACGCCGGACTCTTGAGACTCGCAGCCCGATCAGCCGAGATGGACCTAGAGTTCGAGCCGAACTGGTCCAAACCCTCCGGAACCTGCGTCCCCGGCGGAAGCACTATCCTGGGAATGAGATCGTCGTCACTCGGGAGGAGGAAGTCTTCGTTCTCAAACCGTGGAAGGGGGATATCATCGACCTCCTTCGTGCAGTTCTTGACCCTACGCGCGTACGTCTCCACGATGTGCGACGGGACGATCATATTGTGTTCCTTCCTTAGAAAGTCGCAGAAGCCGACCAGAGCAGTCGCCTGGTTAAGCTTGAGGAACGGCGCCTTTCTGAGCTCGGACTTGTCCATGAAGTCCTTCATCTTGAGGAGCTTCCCCTCGCACTTGCCCCTAAGCGCGGCCAGCATCTTTCTGCCCTTGGACTCGGCGTCTCGGTACCTCCGCCTCTCCAGTTCGCTCGTCTTGAACGACTTGGACAGAGCATCCATGTCTCCCTCCAGTTCGGCAGTCCGCTTCTCCAGAGCCCCGACTTGCTCCTTCAAGGCCGCGTTCTCCTTCTCCTTTTTGGAGAAGGCTAGCATAGCAGCCTCGTACCTCTCCTTTTTGTCCCGGTACGACACCTCCAAAGACGCCCTCTCGGCTGCGACCTCAGCATTGATCCTCCTCAGCCTCTCGACTTCAGAATCATACTCGCGAACGAGCTCATTGGTATCACAGACGAGGTCAAAATCAGACATTCCAAGGTTAAAAAAACGTCTAAGTATTCAAGACAGAGAAAAGCTTACAGCAGAGGCAGATTTCGCGACCCGAGCGTAAGACTTAGGGCGGAAGAGGTCTTTGGTCTCGGGCATTGGAGACGAGGCCGGCACGATCTGCTTGAAGAGCTCTGCGCAGGCAGTCGAGTCATCAAAGAAGGACCGATCCTTGTTGTACTTGAGCCGGACTGAGAAAGAGGACGAGTCAGAAATTCGACGCCTCTTGGACGATCTCGGGTTCTCGGTCTCAGCAGCCGGATCCGCTGGAGGAATCTGAGAAGCAGTGGGCGATCCGGGAAGGACCAAAGTCCCCTCACTCACAGCCGTCTCGGGATCGCCACCCCTCTTCCGAGACGATTTCTTCGAGGACTTACCCTTTTTCCTCTAGGCACGATTGGCAATGGTGAGCTCGTCCTCGTTCTGCTCACCGATCTCACCTTCTTCCATCTGAGGCTCAGGAATCGCCTCGGGAGCACCAGTCCCCACCACTTCGACCTCCGGTTCTGTAACCGGGATCAAGGGATCAACTAGGCCGACCGGGATGTTGTCGACCGCGTCCCCACTACCGGCTTCGACGCCATCACCGGCTTCGTTCGCGTCGAGACCGACGACATCGATTGGGGCGTTGTCTTCTTCCTCATCGGCCCCGAAGTCCATCATTGGGATGTCCGACCTATCGAACGCCATCCTTCGACTCTTCTTGTTGCTCTTCTTCGATTTCTTTTTCTTCGGCACCGGCCTTGACGAGCTGGGTTCTGCCTTAGTTTTGGCTACAAAAAAAAGCAAGTATATCAGCCGAAATCTACACATCCAAATAAAGACAACTTCAAAGCGACCTGAGAACTCATACCTCTATCCTGAGCTCTCTTTATCCGACGATTGATCTTCTCCCGGTAAGCAAGGGGCCAACGGCGCTGTCCGGCGAGACTTAGCTGCTTCGCGAGGTCGGACGTGAGAAAGCGTTGGATGAATCCTGGAACGTGGCGATCTTCATAAGCAAAGAATTTTTATTAGTATCGACCAAGAAACAGGAGAGTCAACCGTGAGATATGTACCGAAATCGACACTCCAGCCAGTCCGAAACGTGCTCCCCGGATTCTCAGCAGATAACGAATCAACGCGAACAAAGAAGTAGCTCTGGTCCCAGTTCGGAAATTTGCTAGCCTTGTTCCCGGTGACCAGGTCGAACTTCGGGTTGCAATTCACCGACAGAAACCAACTTTTGGCCGATGAGACCTTCATGATAAAGAGCTCCTCGAATTGGGCCACGTTGATATGAGCCCGGACGTCACGCCCGAGCTGGAGAATCCCAACAAAGTTTACTATCGATGCCGGCTGAAGTTGTGATATCGCGCAGCCGCGACGATTGCAGTAAGCGAACAGCAAGCGGGGCAAGGGGAAAGTCAATTCGGCCTCGCGGAAATAGGCCTCGTACACACAGATGAAATCCTCGGGTGCATCCCAAGGGCGCTCTTCCGGTTCGGGAACTTGAATAATGAGCCTGGGAGGGGCTCCGCCGATCAGCGTTGCAGCCCGAACCGTTTCCGGAAATGACAGGGTAGACTTCACCGGGGCACATATATATGGCCGATCCAGGATCGGCATCATATCATCGTCGTCTGGATCCTGCGCTCCTCCTTCCCCGACCTCGTGCAATGGAGCGTCCTCATCTGTCTTCACATCAGGCTCCCGCCCCAGGACCAAGTCTGTAGGAACTTGGCCTTCGGGCTCGCGGAGATTTCGATCCATCCGCTCTGGAGCTCGAATTGGAACTCGGCTGCCAGAGCCGACCTCGACGACACGGTAATTCTTGCGAACCAGAGAAGCGTTCGAAGAATGTTCTGTAGATCCCGAGCTCGAGATACGGGAAGAATGCCGACCTCGGAATTGGATGAAGAGTCGGAATACATTATCGGAGAACTCGAAAGAGCAACCGTCGACGAGAGAGCACGGCGGACGGCGACCGGAATTCTAGAGAGAGAAAGAAGAAAATTTAGAGAGAAGGGAGAGCAAATACCTTGGCAGTAGGAGCGAAAGTGAGAAATGGGGAGAGCTGAACCCTATTTATAGAAGAAGAGTGAATCATTGCGACTTCTCGACTTCCGCGCCTCATAACGTCCCGATTTCCCGCCAAAACCGACGCGTCTTTTCAGTTCCCTGCAAGTGAAAATACTTAAATATCCTTGCCAAGACACCGGAAAAATGAAGAAGGGTGTAAGTCGAGAACTCGACGTCACCGACCTCGGTCTATAACCGATCCAACTCCAATTCGGCAAAAGTCAGTCAGGTCCATTTGCCGAACTGGGGGGGACATACTGTTGGTGGTACGCTCCGCTCCCCGGTTCGGACCGGTTAAAGACCGAGACCGGCCCAATTGACCCCGGTTTACGATGGTCTTAGCCGAAATGGGCCTGACCTGACAGTGCGGCCCATGAGAAAGAAGCCCAGCAACAAGAGGCGGTGAGAGCTGAACGAGAAGCCCTAGAACATCTCCTCGCTTATGTACTATAAATAGTAGAATTGTTACTGTAGAAGGGATCTTTTCGGACCCGGAGAATAGAGACCTGAATATTGTATCGAGTTCGTCGAGAGACCTCCGAACTGAACGAACTGTAATTGAGAACTTAATAAAATTTAATCAACTTAATCTTCTCCGAACTCGAATTACCGAACCGACCCTTGAATAGTTGAGAACCACAATCAACACCCTCCATCCTTTTGAGTCACCGACCTTGTACATCTTTCCAAAAGGTAGGATCTTGCTCGGTGGTGGTGGAGGAATCGGACGTGAAGGATCATGGACGACAAGAATGTCGAGTCTTTGTCCCGATTTGCATTGAGCATGATTTGAGGTGATGAAATAGTAAAAACCTGGTTCCGTGAGGGTTACCACATCGTGTCCTGTCTTGTAGACGGCTTTAGGAGAAGAAGAGTCGCAAAATTCATATTCCAAGGCGCCTGAGACATGAGTGACGTCATTCAAGTTGCGATCGTATTCAAAGACCAGAGAATCTCCTACATGGAACTCCTTACGCTCGGCCCACTCGTTGTAGACGTCTTCCTTGGCAGTCCATCCATCGGAGTCTCCCACTTTGTAGATTGTCGTCGAGCAGCAGCCCAAGAGAACCGTGAAGGTTGTTATCACGAGCACCAAGGTGTTGATCTTCTTCGATGTTGTTTTGGCCATGATTCGATCGATGGTATAAACGATGAAGAAGAAGAAAGAGCTTGTGAACAAATTGCGATGTCAAGAAGAAAGAACGATCGAGAGTATTGGATGAGTTTGTAATACTTGAGAAACAAAAGAGAACTCTACATCTCTTTATATAATGCTTTACCTTACGATCCCTACAGAGCCGTGCCTACAGTGAAATGAAAAAGGCAATCGCCTAAGGCCACATCTTATTTATTAAGTTTAGAGGCCACATTTAACAAGTGAATTATAGTTTTCTTAGTTGGCTAATTTGTCTTGTGCATATTTTTATTTTGTTCAAGTTCGATCCTCAGCCGCATAAAAGTATAACTATTTTTTCACCAAATTTTTTAAAAATATTACTGTACATTTGATTACTGAATTTTTATATAATTTCATTAAAAAGGTCACATTTTAATTTTAGCCTAAGGCCTCCAAAATCTTAAGCACGGCACTTGGATCCCTAATCCTTCTTATCTTTTACACGGATTTCATTTTGTTTATTTCCTTTTTCCATATTAAACCAAGACTTAATCCTTTTCAATATATATTATCTATGTTCTTTCCTTTTTTTCCTGTATCTATGTTCTTTCCATTTTTTTTTCACAGTTGCTATATGCGATGTATATCTCTTATTAATATACATCTTTTTGATCTAGTTGTCTTTGCTAACGTGAGAATATAATTTTTATTACTATGATATTTTACTCGCTAATAATTACTTTCAGAAAAAAGGAAACAAAAAAAGACATTGACATTAATTGTTTTTTATTTTATGTTTCAAACCGATACGTTCATTAGATTAAAACAAATTATTCTCGATGTCAAAAAAAAAAAGAAAAAAAAAAACAAATTTGTCTCACGTTAGCATTGGTCTTTTCGTTTTTGTCACAATAAAAAGGAAGAAGAGAGGAGATAGACATGAGAGAGACTTGAGAAAGAAACAAAATTTCTTAGATATTGTAATCGGATGAGTTCGCAAAGTTTAGGGTACTTTCCTAATCTATATCATTAACGGAAACAACCATAACAGTACAATTACCTATTTCTCATCTTATTTATTTAATAATTTCTGTTTTAGAGCAAATTAATTCAAGCCTCTCTCATGTCTATCTCCTCTCTTCTTCCTTTTTCTTATCTTATTTATTTCATGCGAAAATCTAAATTTATAGTATCTGGAACTTGTAAAAGGTCATATTTTTGTTGCAATTAGGGAGTTAATAATTTCAATAGAATTAATAGGTAGTTTGGTACATTTTTATTTTGTTGCAGTAAAACTCTACCGTTTTTGATGTTATCAATCCGTAAAATGGTAAAACTAAAAGAAATATTTACTTCCAATAGCACTTTTTAAGTTTACGTTTACACTTTTTGGTACATCCATTTTAGATGGCACTTCTTTTTATCTTTCATAGGAAAAATGATAAGATACCCCTACCTATTATTAAACCAAAATTTTTTTACCATTTTAACCGATTTTCAATTTAATCTCTTTAACCCAATTTTATTAAACCAACATTCTTTTTTTTTTCTTCCTTCTTCCTTCGTGCTTTTCTTCTTCTTTCTTCTTCTCCACTTTCTTCTTCTTTTTATTATTTCTTCTTCTTTCTTCATTCCTCTTTTCTTCTTCTAGATTTCTAGGTCTTTTTTAATTTGAATATGAGGAGAGGTAGAGACTTTCTGCTGCGGGACATCTCTGGCAGCTTTAAAACTTTAAATCTGCAAAGCTTTTCATCAAATAATCCCTTCAGGACTCATTTTTCAGTCGTCAACAGACCGCTTTAGCTCACAGCCGCTTTCGCCGTTTTCACCAATGAGCTCATCTGGCTGATCGTGATTTTGTTCTTTACTCGTGGATTCATCAAAACAGATCTCGGCAACAGCATTTTCAAGACATGGTCACATCCACACACACGATCATATGGAAGTATCCACTAGTTCTCATATACGCATTCATCTAATCGATGGTTATGTATTCATTGTTATAGACTTGAGATAACATGGTTGATGTATCTTCCTTAAGTTGGTTCATAATTTCCTTGTATTCCCTCTTAATCTTTCTTTGCATCTTCATTTCTTATAGATCTGGTCTCCTTTCTTGACAAAGCTCTCAAACTCTTGGTGAGCTCGCAGTTACTTTCCACCATCATATGTTGGTCTCCTGACTGCCACAACCAAATGTTTATCCGGATTTTCTTTTGGATCAATATGTGTGTATCCATGTGGACATGGACACAAGCGTTGTATCGCTCTCTATTTGGTCCACAAGTAATGACCCTCTTGACCAAATCTGCTTCTTCTTACGATGGACATAAAGTTTATGGACGTATCCACACAGATAAACACAATGCATTTTAAGCTTCATATAAATATGGGTGTATCCACGTGGACATGGACACAAAGCTTTGTATCACTCATCATTCTTACACCATATCTCTTATTGTCTGTGTCGTCATGTCTGTTGTTGTTCATGTCGTCTTCTATGCCATATCCTCTCGTAGCTTCTCTCTTATTTATTTGTCTATGCATTTATATAGGCAGGTAATATTTTGATGTTCAAATCGTGTCCCCATTATCTTATCCATCGTAATCATGTCCATTAAGACATGTCCACATAGATATTTTATTGACTCTTTATTAATCTATCAACGGAATGTCCATGGTTAAGTCATTATCTTCTTGTTCTGTATTTTCATTGACATGTACAATTACCGATGACAGCCAATGGAAACACATAAAAAATATGAAGCAAATTTAGATATCTATACAAGGAGTGAGTTATGTGTACATATCCACATGACTTTAACTATCCATATAACTATAACCATATAGAATGTAGACTTTATAGTTAAATTATTCGTGGACATGTACATGACAAACAAATTTTGATTCTAAGCGAATATATTCAAAATAACTAATACGACATGTATATGATAATATGTCCATATGGAAGGTCCACACCAATTTAGTTCAAGGCAACCATATTCAAGCATTCGTTGGTTAAAGAAACTACAACATGTACATGATATTACAGTTTAAGGATATATCCACTAAAAAATATCTATAGGGAAAACAAATTTTGTGTACGTGTCCACTAATTAGATTTGTGTACTTGTCCATATAGCTTGTTTTATGTACTGTTTATTCTCTTCTCCATCTTCATACACAAACGACATAACTAAAAGCAATTCTAGTTGCAGAAACGGCGGATTCGCGACCACGAGATACAAGTGTAAATCCGGATCCAAATTCTGCATCACCATCCACGGAAAAGCTTCATTACTGTCTTTCGGATCCGTATGTTGGTTTGAATCTGTGAGAAAGAGAGAGAGAGAGAGAGAGAGAGAGAGAGAGAGAGAGAGAGAGAGAGAGAGAGAGAGAGAGAGAGAGAGAGAGAGAGAGAGAGAGAGAGAGAGAAGAGAAAGAAAGTTAGAAACTGCTTCGTTGATTTGAATATTTTTTTTTGTGTGGGTGGTGTTTTTAATGTATATTAGAAAAAAAGAGTTAAAGAGATGTCTGTGTGTACAAAAGAGAAAAAGAAATATATATGTGTGAAGGAGGTAGAAGATATCAATGTCCGTAAGATAGAAAGAAAGAAAGAAAGAGAGGAGGAGATAAGAAGTAATGTTTTAATTACTAAACCATTTTTAAATTCGGTTAACCAATTTTATCTAAACCGGTTGTTTTTCAAATTGGAAGGAGGATTAAATTGGGTTTTCCAATCCATAAACTATAAAAAAGTGCCATCTTATTTGCAAGTGTCAAAATCTGTAATATATAACTTAAGAAGTGCACGTGTAAGCGACTCAAACTAAAACGATAGCACACCATCTCTCTCTCACAGACACACTTTCTCATCACTTTCTGTGATATTTTACATCGCTAATAGATCTAAACTATATTAGATCAAGATCACCAATCGGATATATTAATAAAATGTTAACTCCGGCACCGGATTTCCAAACGTTAAGGAAGCAACACGTGTGACAAATGGGCGAATAGGCTTTAATTTAGCAAAAAAAAAAATGGACGAATAGGAGCAAATAAGTTATGCACAATCAAACCAAAAGCCTTATCATCCCTAAACAATAAAATATAAACCTCGTCAACAATGTAAGCCGACCAAAACATTATATTTTCTTTGGTGACACAATGCAAAATGATGATATGGAACACATTATCACTATCAAATTATACATTAATATAATCACACGCAGCAAAGTTGACAACCAAATCTTCTCTAATCCGTACAACTATAAGCTTGCTTATTTTAATTAATTATATAAAATTATTTCTTTTCTTATCCTCTTTTGACTTCTTTTGTCATTGATAGTCATAAACTCAGAAATACTTTAAAGTTTAAACAATACCGAAAGTTCACAAAACTGAAAACACTAAGAAACTTTAAAGTATCGTTTACAACTATGAAGAAAATTTGTTTAATTTCCCATATGGAAATATCATTTGACTCAACATGAATGGATTTAAAACAACATTTATATTTACAAACACTAGTTAGTAATTAAACAACGAAAATGGAAAAAAAAAAACCTAAATAATAATATGAGGGACAAATGGTGGTGCATGAAAGAAATAAGCTATAATAAGAGAATTATGATGACTGGAATATGAATGAGTGAGATAATGATAGTTAGAGTTGTTGAGCTCGTCTTTATTCCTCTTTTCTTCTGAAGAGGATCAAATATCAGCAGAATATGCTATATTTTTATATAAAATGCGGATTTTCTTTTCAAATAAAAACTAAAATTTCGTGTAGTGTGATTTTAAAAGAATCTAGCGTAATTAAGTGTGGCATTATGCCCATATCATAGTGTGTTTTTTTTTGCAAAAAATCTAACCTTAAATATTCAGTCAATTACATTTTAGTTATTATGAAAACCAGAGAATGTAGAAAACAAAAAACATTGGAACTTGTCTATTAGAAAAGAAATGTATGATAAAGTTTTCAAAAAAATATTTTCGCCTCAAAAAGTTTGTTTTTTCTCTTTTTAGGTTATCAACTCAAACACCTTTTTTTTAAATTATATATAAATAAAAATAATTTATTACTTCAAAACTAAATATCAGTTACAAAATACAATGACAAAAAAGAGTAAAATAACCGAAAAAATCGAAACTTGAAAGCAAGCATGAATCCAGCAAAAAACCAAAAAAATCGGAACTTTGAAATTCAAAACTAAATATTAGTTACAAAATACAATGACAAAAAAGAGTAAAATAACCGAAAAAAATCGAAACTTGAAAGCAAGCATGAATTCAGCAAAAAAACCGAAAAAATCTGAACTTTGAAACCAAGCATGAATCTGACAAAGAAACTAAGACAACGATAGAATCAAATACATGCATTCTGTTGGATTTGAATGTTTTTTGGTTAAACTGTTGGATTTGAATTGAGATGTTAACGTAAGAACAACGACACTAAGACAAATCATTAAGGTACATATGTATATCCGTTTCAAAAAGCTTTATTGTGTGAATATTATTAAAGAAATAAATACAAAAATCTTTCGACCAGGAAAAAAAAATCTCTATACTGTATTTTTGTTGTTGTTATTGATGTTGAAAATGGTAAGTACGAATTAGAATTGATGCTAAACCGTGCACGTAAATCACCTAGTAGTTTCTAAAATAAAAGGTAACTATATATATCAAAAAAAAGATTCAAGATAATATTTACGTCAAGTCTTGTCTTTCTTCGCCTCTCTTTCTCTTCCTTACATAGGTTAAGTCAATTTTCCCATATTCTTCTTCCTCCCACTTCACAACTCTCTCTCTTTTATTATTCCTTCTCTTTTCTTCCACAAATCTCCACAAAAAACTTTCCCTTAAAGACCCAGATCCGAATAATTCATCCTACTAAATTCTTTTTCCTTCAAAATTCTTTCCGCCGCTAGATTCTATTCTTATCTTTTCTCGCACTTATAAAGAAAACACAAGCACACTCTCTTTCTCTTTCTTGCCAAGTCCTGAACTTTCACCATAACAATCAGCTTCAACCACTGTTGCTTGGTGGGTTCTTGTTACTTCATCATTTACTGATTTAGCTTTTGCGAGGTTGGGCAAATAACAAAAATTCCCCAATTAGGTGTATGGCGATTGGGTTTTACTGATGGGATTGTTATTTAGTCGTTCCTGCTGGTGAATCGGATTGGTGGGTTCTTCTAAAGTCGTGATTTTTTCGCATCGTAATCAATAAAAGATGGATCGGAATCAGAAGATTGATCACGTCATCGGCGGAAAGTTTAAGTTGGGTAGGAAACTCGGTAGTGGATCGTTCGGCGAACTTTATTTAGGTATGAAGAACTAAATCATCTTTCTATTAACAACTTTAAGTGGTTGCTGCAATGTACCTAACAAAAATTTGATCTTTTGATGTGTGTGTTTGTGTATCTTAGGGATCAATATCCAAACTGGAGAAGAAGTCGCAGTTAAGCTGGTGAAGTGGTTTAATTTTAGTTTTTTTTCATTGAAATTTATAAATTTTTTGCTGAGAAAGGTTTCAATTTTAAATTCTGGATCCTGCCTGTTGCAGTCTTTATGTTTGGTATTTGACAGTTTTAGTAAGACTAGATTTGATTGGAGATAAAACACTGTAATTCAATGATCATGTTTCATTGTGAATTGATTTTTGCTCCATTTCTGTTTATCCCTTTCTAAGATTGCTTCTCTTTGACATCAGGAACCTGTGAAGACGAGGCATCCTCAACTGCAGTATGAATCGAAAATATATATGTTTCTTCAAGGAGGAAGTGAGTTGGATTTTATAAGAAGTTTTAGTTCCAAACCCTCTCTGTCTCTTTGTAGTTTGACATGTTTTCTCTTTCTTTTGAATAGCTGGTGTTCCTCATCTCAAATGGTTTGGAGTCGAGGGTGAATACAGTTGCATGGTTATCGACCTTCTTGGGCCAAGCTTGGAGGACTTATTCAATTACTGCAATCGAAAGTTTACCTTGAAATCTGTTTTAATGCTTGCAGATCAGTTGGTAAGTACTGAGTAAGCCCTTTATTTTCTGATGTTAGGTTGGTCATTGAGAACGCTGTTAATCTGTTCCTTTGAATATGTTGTATCAATGTAGATATGCAGAATTGAGTACATGCATTCGCGGGGTTTTCTTCACCGCGATATTAAACCAGACAACTTTTTGATGGGTCTTGGGCGCAAAGCAAACCAGGTAATCCTACTGTCCTGTCTTGAAGTGTCCTTAGCATAAATCTCGGTCTGGCTCTTAGGATGACTTGTACAATTAGCCTTCTGGTTTACCGAATTAACTTTCAACCTCAGGTTTATATCATCGATTATGGTCTTGCTAAAAAATACAAGGATCTTCAGACACAAAAGCATATACCATACAGGTGAGAGCTCCAAACTTCTACCCTGCCTTTCTGGACATCGGTGCTTATTGATTTTTTTTTGTCTAGGAACCTGTTGTATTTCATTATGGATATTATTAGTTGATTCCGTGCCTATCTTATTAATGAGACATGATTATGCTGCACTGGTGTTTTCTTTATGCTGTGTTTGAAACTTTCCTTTATGAACCCTTCTTCCTTCTTGCTTTATTAGAATTTCTTGTAAATCTTCAGGGAAAACAAGAATCTTACAGGAACTGCACGGTATGCAAGTGTGAACACGCACCTTGGGATTGGTAAGAGCTTCATCTCATACATCCGTGCCTTTCTTGTCTGAAGCATTTGAAAACTTGTCTTCCTTGCTGACTCATTTTTTTTATGCATGCTTACAGAGCAGAGTAGAAGAGATGATCTGGAGTCACTTGGTTATGTATTGATGTACTTTCTTCGAGGAAGGTAGGAAACTTTCTTGATCGCATATTTGCTTATAACTTCTTTCAAAAAAAAAAACAAATTCCCTGAACTTGAGTCCATGTTTCCTTTTTGTCTCAGTCTTCCATGGCAAGGTTTAAAAGCTGGTACGAAAAAGCAAAAATATGACAAGATTAGTGAAAAGAAGATGCTTACTCCTGTAGAGGTACATCATTATTAACGTTTGATGCGGAAAATGTTTTAAGATGTCCAGTAGATTTTGACGATAGAATGGTTTTACTTTCTGAAGGTTCTTTGCAAGTCCCATCCATCAGAGTTCACCTCGTATTTCCATTACTGTCGATCATTGAGATTTGAGGACAAACCAGATTATTCATATCTGCGAAGACTTTTCAGGGACCTTTTCATTCGTGAAGGTTAGAAACTTCCTTAGCCATTCTAAAAAGGAAAAAATTAGCACTTCTTGGTGAAATAAGTTCTTTCTATGTTTGCTCTCTGACAACTCTCTATTATTATATCAGTTATGGTCTATACATTTTTGTGGGACTTATCCGTGGCTTGTTTGTTCGTTTTTGATGCAATGAACTATGCTTGTAGGTTATCAGCTCGACTACGTGTTTGATTGGACAACTTTGAAATATCCTCAGAGTGGCAGTTCGAGACCAAGGGTTAGTCCTAATTTTCGTTTCACGTGTGGAAAACCAAATGTCATAACAATTCAATAATCCAAAATCTTATCCTGCTATATGTTCACAACAGTTAACTCCAAGAGCAGCCTTGGACCCTCCAGGACCACCTGCAGATAAATCTGAAAAGCCTACAGGTACATTGTTCTCTCTCTTATATAAAATAGAAAACATCCAAAAAATGTCTTATTGCTTGTAAATTTTTAATTCTGAATGTTGAAAATTTTGGGTGCTGAAAAATTTGGACTACTAGCATGAACTTTTAGATATTGATGTTCACATGTTTTCTCCCTTGGAGATAATTTGTATTTAACAAATACTCTCATATAGTGGAAGATCCAAAGCTGAGAACTTAATTTCCTACTGTGGTTAGTTGGACAGGACCTCCGAGAAAGATTTTCAGGCGCAATTGAGGCATTCACCAGACGAAATGTTTCAAGCCAAGGCGCTCATGGTGACCGCTCTAGACACAGATCTCCTGGTGATATACCCTCTTCTGCCAAAGAAGTGGTTAGTTTTTGTTGCTCTTTCTTTGGCCATCCTTGTTAATCTATCATCAAAATTTCCCTTACTACTTAGTAATTCTCAGGTTAAGTAGGAATTTTAAAGAATCTGAGAAACTTTGTATGTTTTGATTTGTTGGCTTCACTTGCAGCACGAGTCTGATAGACATCGTTCTTCATCTCGAAATGGAAGCACATCAAAGAGAGGTGTGATATCAAGCAGCAGACCTGTGTCATCAGCTGAGCCAAGCGAGAACCGCTCAAGCCGACTATTTTCAAGTGGATCACGTCTCGGCACAACTCAAAGGGTGCAACAGAGCAATGAATCCAAGCCATCATCTGCTGCTGGAAGGCCTAGGCATGATGATGCCATGAGAAGCTTCGAGCTCCTTACCATTGGCTCTGGAAAGAAGAGGTAATGAAGTTAGGGAAGGAGAAGACGGTGGTAATGAAAAGACAATGATGTCCAATGCTTATAGATCCTTTATCCTCTGGAAAAACGCATTGTTTCTTACCCTTGGTACAAGATGAGAGAGAGAGAAAGAGAGCATCTAATCTGTCTCTCCCAATGTCTCATTGTCTGTGTTTAAGAGAAATTGTTCATATATCTTTAAAAGTGTAACTTGTGATGAGCACTTCAGGTTTTTTCTCGTTCTGATTTGTAAAACTTCGATGTAGAATGAAAATATGAAAACCTACCTCGTTTTCGCAGAACAAACTTAAAACTGTAAAATGAAAACGTTTTGAAGTTGCAAACATTGATGAAGATGTTTTGACAAATGTTCTGCTCAAATATCGTAGAATATATTGATGAAGATGTGGACGTACATATTATAGTTTTTTCCAACACAGAAATAGACAAAGGTTACATCTCTAAGGCTACTACCATTGAACCGAGAAAAGAACAAGACATAGCGACTAATGTCTTCTGAGAGTGATGAAAGGAGTGGAGCTGAGATGAGCTACAATGGGTGATGAAAGTTCATCAACTTGGTTGTTTGGCGTCACTCTAGAGATGGGCGTAAATTGCATCTTGTTTTCTATCGGAGTTAGTGGAAGTGGACTTGCTGGTGTGAGACCTTGAAGTTGTAAGCTCTTTCCCGCTCTTAAAGTAGCAAGGTAAGCGTATCCGTTGCAGGAAGGCAGGCTCGTAGCTTGAATTGTTGATTCTTTCTCCTTTGCTACTTGAGCTCCACATGGTTCCTTCAAACATTGAAATGAAAACTGCAGTTAGGATTACAAAAAAACACAACCGGATATAAATGAAAAGCTTTTGTGCTTGTTGGGTTACGGGTTTATTACCCCGAGCCTGAGAAAGGTGAAAGCTTGGTTATCAGATCCAAGGTATATCTCAATAAGCTTCCTCAAGTCAGCTAGTGTTGCGTCCTTTGTAACTCTCAGTGTTGTTATGAGCTGCTTTAGAGGGTTATCAGTAGTTGCTTCCCATTTAACATAGATATCTATCTGCCCGTTTTTACTTTCATCAACTGAGATATTGTTTTCCTTTGATTCTTCTACTGCTAGAGCTTCGGCCTTATTCGTTGTAGGAAACAACTGATCATTCTTGGCTTGAAGAACCTCCTCTTGTCCAGAGTGCTGAGACAGCTCTCTCTGATTGCCACAGAGGGTGAATATGTTTTGGATTCTCAACTTTCTAGACGATTCTGATTCTTTGTAGTCTGTACTGTTGAAGCAGTTCTCTTTACCCAAACCTTCAGTGTTCAAAATAGGCGTTGGTGTTGTTATCGAGCAGATGCTTTTATCCTCAACTATCACTTTCTCTTCGTCTTCTTCAGCCTCTTCTTCTTCAAAGACAGTGCTCAAGCATACACGGTCAGGGTACATTTGCGCAAGCATATTCTCTGAAGGATTTGGTTGCAAAATGTTAGACAGATTGCTGCTGATTGTGTTGCTTGGCTGGTATGAACTAGCAGCTCCCCAGACTTGCTTGACTGGTTCTGAATCACCCATGTCAAGATCCATTGACTTCACCATATCTTCATCAGAGTAAAGACCCCTGAGTCTTTTGGCAAACCCACTAGTTTCATCAATACTTCCTCCATCCCTCGAGCGCCGGAACTCAACCTCGATTTCCTCTAACCGTCTCCTCATCATCTCAAGTTCCTCTTGCTGCTGCACAATCCTTTCCTCCATTCTCCTTCTCTCCATTTCAACAAATTCCTCAGCCATTCTTCTGCATTCCTCAAGTTTCTTCTCCAACTCTGCTTTCAAAAGTTGGGTTCTCTCGTTTACTTTCTCTTTTATCTCCTCTTCTTTGGTGGCACATGATTCCTTCTGTGTTAGAAGTGATCTTAAAGCAGCAACCTCCTCTTCCTTCTTCTTCAGCTGCTTTTGTGCATCATTCCTTTCTTTCTCTTGCTGCTTCTTCTCAGACTGGAGTTTGGATATAAACTCATCCATCGCTGCTATTCTCGTTCCCAAAATCACAGCAGAAGACTCATCACCCCCATTCTTATCTCTGTTCGGAATTTGAGACCCACGAACAATGCACTTTGCTTTTGCCCCATACTCTAGAGTGCATAGAGTCTTGTGCATTTCCTTCGGATCCGGGCTTGCACATAGGATCATCAGAATCTTCGACTTGTCATCTTCAAAAGAGTCCTGCATCCAGAAAACAGAAAACACACTAAATACAGATCTTCAACAAACCAAGCAGCCACATACATCTTCCATAGGGTAGATATAACAAAAGAGCATAAATTTCACCTGGAGCAGCATTGTAAGCTTGCTGTCTCTAAAGGGCACGTGAGAGTCTCCATTTGCTATAGATTCCACGACTCGCTTCAGTGCAATATTCCCCTGGTTGATCTTAGCAGTCTGTTGAATAGAGATATAGGTCAGTTTCTTTTCATAACAACGAGAACTTTGATAGATCAATGAATGGAGAGAGGCTGGAGATTCAAACATTACTTGCATCTTTGCTTCAAATCCAGTCTGTCCAGCTTGGTCTATGTTTTCTGAACCAGCCATGTCAACAAGCATCAACCTTCCCCCAACAGTTGGCACATCAAGTATGATCTACATAAAGAAACAATCACTTCTAAGACTAACAGACATTAATTGTATATAATAAGCTACATATATGCTTCAATCATTATCACAAACCATGCAATGACTCCGAGAACTTCTTTCATTGCAAAGTGTGCTTTTGACAATCCTCCGTTTCTCCACTTTCACAATCTCTTTAGAGATTTTCGCAGCCTCTGTCCCTGAAATAAAGGTCGCGTTTTTCGCCTTCTTCCCCATTACTTCAAGCCTAACCTATAAAAACAACAAACCACAAAAACCCTTAGATATTGAATCAAACCCAAATTAGACCTCATCAACACAAAGGAACGAAGAAAGTTACCTTAGTGCTTCCTCCTTTTGGCCAACCAATCCCTAAATTGTTGCTACTATTGGTCGAGAGAAGATCATAAATCTCCTCATTATAAACCTCAAGAACAGTGACCTGAACAAACGTAACACCATCTTGATCCGAATCTCCCAAAATATCCCTCAAGGACCGATACACAATCCCGGGTTGCTTCCCGCATCCAAACATCGTGTGGCTTTTGCCGGCGCCGGTAGGTCCGTACATCATGATCGTACATTTATTCCCAAGCTTCACGCCTTTGATCCTCTCTTCTATGAATTTCTTGTAAAACGCTTCGATACCTTCTTGCTCCGAGAAAGAAACGCCGTCGAGCGTGAAGTCTCTGTACCCAACATCGGCTCTGACCCGGACCGTTTGGTTATCTGGGTTTACTTGCAAGATCGAGGTTGAAGATGGCTCCTTTCGATCTGGGTAATCTCGGATCCGGCCGATTACTTCGACTGGATGCTCCGGTGCCGAATCTGGGTTTGGGGTTTTTGAGTGGAAATTGAGTCGTTGTTTGGTTTGTGGGGTTCTGATTAAGGTGAATTGGGTTTGATTCGATCTAGCAGATGATGGCGTCGGTGCCATTTTAGAAAATTTTCAAGATTTGAAGCTTAAATTTTGTGTTTTTCTTCTTTCGGATTCAGAAATTGAGAGAGCGCACAGAGAGAGAGAGAGAAATGGTGATTAGGGTTTGAGTGAGAATCTCGAGGTTTGACGTTTGAACAAAAGCAAACATAACCGTTGTATCTCTAAACGGCTAGTTTTTGTCCACGGGCCACCGAAATTAAAATATGCTTTTTATTTTGGGTAAGTAAAATATATTCTCTTTTTTCTAAAGGGAACTGAGATTTCAAATTTCTATAATATGGGCTTATCAAAATTGGGCTTTTAGATTTAAAAAGGCCCAAAGTTCGTTGTAAAAGGAACTAGGGTTTCTCAAAAGGTCTGATATAAACTCTGTACCTTTAGAGTGGTTGTGTTTTCGGCAGCGGACGACGACGGCACGAGCTTCACCGAAGAGCGAAAATGGTGACTCTCTTCCCTTTTCTTGAGTTCTGCTTAATTTCTCGTGTTTCGTAGAGCTCTGTTTTAGCTTCGGAGAAATTCAGGAAAAACAAATGTGAAGAAACGAAATTATTGTTTATAGATCTCTTAGGTGATTTTGAGTGGTTCGACTCGGATTCTCTATCTTAATTCGAGAATCAGAGTCTGATTCAAAATTAAGAATCTGTTTGTACTACCTAATTTATTGTACTATTGAAGCTTTACGAGTCTATTCACTTCGTCTCTGAGAATGGTTTAGTCTGTTATATTTGAAGGAGATTGGAAATGATACTAGGGATACATTGTGTTTCTGCAAATCGGTTTTAATTAGTAGGAGAAGGCTACATTGAAATCAAGGTGCTTTATATGGATTCACTAGATGGTTAGAAAACCAAAGAGCTTATTAGTCTGAACAGTTTAGAATTGTTAGATCCCATGATTGTGATCGATTATGTTTGTTGAAGAAGCCGTTTTCTTGTGAAAGTTAACTCAAAGTTGGTTTTTTTTGTGAATGGGTAGGTGAACATTCCCAAGACTAAGAAGACTTACTGCAAGAACAAGGAATGCAAGAAGCATACCTTGCACAAGGTGACCCAGTACAAGAAGGGTAAAGACAGTCTTGCTGCCCAGGGAAAACGTCGTTATGACCGTAAACAATCTGGTTATGGTGGTCAGACCAAGCCCGTCTTCCACAAGAAGGTAACCCAACACTGAGAATCATTGTTATATTGACCCTAAGTTACTATGAACCATCTATCTTTAGCTTAGAATACTATGAGCCATCTTATCTTTAGCTTAGAGACTGTTTATTGATGTTTTACTTTGTGAAAACTCTTATTTGAATGATCGTTTGATTCGACTGTGTTCATGATTTATGATCTTTGGAACAGGCTAAGACAACCAAGAAGATTGTCCTGAGGCTCCAATGCCAAACATGCAAGCATTTCTCTCAGCACTCGATTAAGGTAATGAGAACTCTGTTATATTGTTCACATTCTTCTAAGTGTTGTGATCTGCTTCTAAATACATGTGTGTTGTTGGTTTTTGCAGAGGTGCAAGCACTTCGAGATTGGTGGAGACAAGAAGGGAAAAGGAACATCTCTCTTTTAAGTTGTTTTTATTTCTACTTTTCCTTTTTGTATGGTACTGTCTTGCTTCGATACTCAAAATACATTTTGAATCTCTCGGAAATGCTTGTGGTGTTTAATTTAATAGGACATGGTCGTATGGAATATCTTTTTATTTTGTGAAAACCAATCTTTGTTCACAAGATTCTTGTGAAGTTTTGTCTACAACTTGCGTGAAAATCTTAGCATCACGTAAAAATATAAATCAAGAATAATTAATGTCGCAAAATTCTTATGTGCCTTTGATAGAGGCCGTTTCATATCATGAATTAAACCCATTTCAATTTTAATTAAATCCATTTTACTTTAATTAAACCCATTTTAATTTTCATTAAACCCGTTTCAATGTAATTAAACCCGTTCAATGTAATTAAACCCATTTCGGTTATACTACTAGTTAATCGCTCCCCCAATTCGTAACGTAGCCACGAATAAGAAGGCATCTTTGTAGAGATTTGTAAGACTAATTTTTTTATTAAAAAAAATCATACAAATTTTATAAGCCTTATAAAGTCTGGAAATCTCAATTTAAGATAAATATAATAACACCAACAATATTTCTCAAAATCAAATTTAAACTTTTCGTAACTACTGTATATGTACAAATTGATAAGAGATTGTAATTCTTTTCTAAAAAAACTTATAAATATTTTTGGTAAAATCAGCGACAAATTTGTATTGTCCTTTCTTTATCTCGGCGAAAATCTGCAAAAAAAAAAGGAAAAAAAAACAAAAGGAAAAAACCCTAGACAATCTAGCCCTAATCTTCAGAGAGAGGCCAGAGGCGAGAGACTCTGTTTCTATCGAGGTTTGGCCCCGAATCATTGATCGATCCCAAATTTTTCGGCTGAGAATTAGAAGAACAGTGTCTAGCTTAGGGTTTAGATCAAATAGAGACTCAGTTTCTATCAAGGATTGGCTCTGAATATCATCGATCGATCCCAATTTTTTCGGCTGAGAATTAGAAGAACAGTGTCTAGCTTAGGGATTAGATAAAGAGATGCCTAACACTCGGATTAAGTCAAGGTGTTTAGAAGATCTTAACGATTACGAAAGGCTTCAAGATAGATTGGAGTGGGAAGGTTACTCAGAGATCAAAGTGAAAAGTGATGGAAATTGCAAGTTCCGTGCTTTAGCTGACCAGCTTTACAAAACCTCGGATTGTCATAAACGTGTTAGACAAGAAATCGTGAAGCAGCTTAAATCTCGTCCAAAATTATACAAAGGATTGGTTGGTAAAACCGATGAATTCTCCGAGTATGTAAAGAACATGTCTAATGACTCTGTGTGGGGAGATGAAGTAACGTTGAAAGCAGCTGCAGATGTCTATGGAGTCAAAATATTACTCATTACATCATTCAAAGATGTTCCTTCCATTGAAGTTGTTCCTAGGTCTCAAAAACAACCTGATAGAGTCATTCACTTGAGCTATCTTGCGGGGATCCATTTCAATTCCATTCACTTAAACCAAGGTTCGTCTTCAGATAGTGCATCGATGGGGACACAGAGCAAGAAGAATAAAGATAAGGATATGGAGAAGGAGAAGGAAAAGGAGAAGGAGAAGGAGAAGGAGGAGGAGGAGGAGAATAAGAATAAGAAGGAAAAGAAAAAACAAACAAAAAAGAACAAGAACAAAAATCGCCTATTTGACTCTTCTCATGTTATGTGAATGCCTCTTTGACATGTACTTGTCTGCAATAACAAAAATCTTACATGTTTATCACATGTATACTTGTATTGTAAGATTCATTCTTATGCTTTTATTGTTGTCAATTTTGTCTCAAAGTTTTTTTTTGTTTTTCCTTAATCCTTATGATCATGTCATCGAATTAGCTAATTCGAGTCATCACATTTGAGAAAAGGCTCGATTTTTTTTTAAAGTAAAATCTGTCTTTATGAGGAGAGCAAAATAAGGCCTGCCAAATGAACTTCAATTTTCTCTGCCTTCATTATATCTCCAACACTTAGTCTTGGAGTCTCTGAGATCAAAATTATTTCCATCATCTCTGTGCACTTTACCTTTAGTATCATTTACCTAAAAGTTTTAATTTTCAGAAATGTGAAGCATAATTCAGTTCAGAACAAATATAATACACACATCCCACTCTCCATATTGATCAGTAGAAGATATTAACTATATCATATAGCATCAATGAAGAAAACGAGAAGAGAATTAACACGTTGGTGTCGTTGTGGGAACGTGAAGAAGATTCGCTTCGACAGTGCGCTGATAAACTGTCGAGATTTATTTGTATTCAAACAACAATAAATAATTTCGTTTCAAATCAACAAACACAAACACATAGTTAAAACATATTCGCAATTTTGTGTCTGTTTGTTATTTGTTTTTGTAACACCTTATATATTAATCATAAAGCGAACGGAGGATGCAAATAGGTACTTAATTAGCCAATTTGGAATACACGCATACAATGAAAAAAACTGAATCAGCTACATATCCAAAATGGTCGAAGTTGTATTTCTAAAGAAGTACCTTCTGATTGCTTTATCTCAAACATCTTCATAAAGGTATCTTATTATTTTGCATTCTGCTGGTCAAAAACAAGAATATGTGAGCATCGATCTCCAGATAGCCTTCGCAATCTGACCTTCGAAGAGCACATGATTAATGGTCTCTTCTTCTATACAGCATCTCTGACACAACGGGTTAATGTTAATATTCCTGTTTCTCATACGATCTGCCGTTGAAATTGCACCACTAGATAACACACGCCATATAAAGTGTTTTATTTTTGGAAGAATATCTAAATTCCAAACCTTACTTTTGAGGACAGTACTTCCTATTGGTGGATCTATTGGTGATTCCTCCAAACTTAAACAGGAAGCAAGCCGATACCTTGATTTAACAGAGTTTTGTGTATATCTTTATTATACGGCCCATATAAACCGGTCAGATTTTGCATGCCGAGATAGGTTTTTCTTCTTTGCCATTGATCAATCACTTCATGATTCCATTCTCTTCTGTTCTCAATCCACAACAGATCCGTGTCTGTTTTGTTTATTTAAGTATACATGAGACAGACATGCAAAAAACATGAAACTCGTTTCACCGCCAGTATCGCTACGCTGCCAATACCAGAACGGCTGATCATACTAGTCCTTAATTCTTAGTATGATACATATCGCAATATAAGTCGTACTCTCGAATAATATTATATCAGATCCAAGAATTAACACACATATGTCATATAAAATATGTTACTTGATTTTACATGATTAATCATAAAAGATAATGGTTTCTTCACTTGGAAGTAAGGATTAGACAAAACACAACATTTCTGAAACTCTATTTTTTTCTGGTTGCGTTAGTATTGTTACACATGCAATAGAAATCGAAGTATCTGCTAATATTAGTAAAAAGAGGGAGAGAAAACAAAATAAAATACTCTCAATCTTTCTACACCGAATCAAAGAAACGCATGTCTTAATCAACAATTTGAAGATAAATAATAACATAGAACGAATACACACTTTTGTTTTACAAATGTAAAGCCAGAAATATAGATACACTAGTGTTGTCTGATAAATTCATATACATACACTATAGATATTATTACATGATAATGAATAAAAAGACAAAAAGAAGTAACGATATTTCACTTGGAAGTAAAATGGAGATAGAGAAACACAAAGAGCAAGACGATCGGAAACACCAGTATAAGTGGAGGAGAAGGAGGAGCCACTGGCCCCATGAGCAACGGAACGAACAACAACATTAACGCAACGATCACAATCGCCAAAATCGAACCAAATCCGATTCCACACTCGTTCGTCATCTTCTTTATCACTTCTTTAGATTCGATATGTGGTTAATTAGGGTTTGTGAGATAGATTCTATTTTCGTTGTATTTATAAAGAGATTCAGACAATCTATCAAACAGTTGTGTCGTTTGCCTAAGAATTAGACACAACGTTTCGTGTTATCATCATCAATTAATGCATGGAACAAAGCCTTTCACGTTAAAATGTAATAACCGCCACTATTACATTAAAATGCTGCGTTTTGTTTTTGTTATTTGTGGCTGCCACGTGTTTAATGGACCCGTGTGTAATGTAACTCAAAACGGTAGCGTTTTGCGTCGAAATCGTTAACTCGATATTCATTGAAACGCAGCGTTTTAATGAATAGAATTCAAATTTTGAATTTTTCATTCTCCCGCCAAATCAGATAAGCGTAGAAATTTGAAAACCCTTTTTTTTTTGTCTGCTAGTGCTTGTCATTTACAATATCGTTTTGTGCTTTTTTTCTTTCACAATCAGAAGACTTTTTGTTCCTCAATTTTCAATTTTCAAAATCTTATTTTTGCCCAAGGATTCCGATGTCAGCTTCATCGAATCGCCGCCGGCTGAAAGATATAAACTCCGGTGCCGGAGAAAATCCATCTTCTGGGAAAAAACCATCGAGGTCTGTAACTCCAGTTCCAATCTCTAGCAAAAATCCGAGTCCTTCTCTCCAGAAATCATTATCCAGCAAAGAGAATCCCAAACCTAGTCACCGGTCATTTGGATCGACTCAGAAGCCATTGCTCCGGCAAATACCGCGCATCGATAAGTCCGCCGTGAATGGTATCGGTGATGGCGAGGGTCGAGTTACGCGATCCACGTCTTCTGGGTTACGAGGTAGGAGTTCTAGCCCATCTGATTTAATAAGGGGTTTCTCGGATTTGAGAAAGAGAAATGAATCTAGGCTTACTGGGGAAAAGGGTGAGTCGGATTTGGATAAGAAATCTGGGTACAAGTCCTCCGGTTTCAAACAGGGTGAGAGTGAAAATAAAGTCGGCGATAGCGTTCGCGAGGAAGCAGATGAAGAAAATAAAGCTAAGGCAACTTCAAGCTCTGATCCAGTGAAATCAAGCAAATTTGAGGGTTCTATCACGGCTAGAAACTCTGTTTCTGATCCAAAGGCTCATGATTTGCTTGGTTCTGGAGAAAAATCTGCTGTTTCTTTGAAATCTGAAAAGATTGGGAAAGGTACTAACGTAGCTTTAAGAAGGAAGTCTTTGGATAATGTTGGGAAGGCAATGGAGATGTCAAAGGAGATTAGAGGGAATGAAGGAAGCAGCAATAGCACTACTAAATACCCAAGCAAGCTGCACCAGAAGCTTGCTTTTCTTGAAGGAAAGGTTAAGAAAATTGCGTCAGATATTCAGAAGACAAAGGACATGCTGGATTTGAATAATCAGGATTCATCTCAGGTTATAGTCTCTGATATACAGCAGAAGATCACAGGGATTGAAAAGTCTATGAGTCATGTTGTTGGAGGTTCAGATCAAGAGAAGAAAGAATCAGAGAGAAACAAACCCACTCAAGTGACGAAAGCAAAGACTTCGGTTAAAGGATTAAACAAGGAAGAGCTAGAAGACAGACTCTTTCCTCACCAGAGGTTGCTAAGGAGCAGAACTCAGACCAAGGCATCGTCACAAGACTCAAAAGGTCATGGTCTGTGAGTCTAACAAGGCAGTAAAGGTTGAAGTGAAGCCCTCAGGTCCTGCTGAGGAGAATCCCATAGCTCTAGAGTTCTTGGCCTCACTTCACAAGGAAAAAGACATATGTAGTAGTGATCAGAATGTGCTGGAAAGTCTGGAAGTGCAGGAGATGGATACGGAGGAATCGTCAAAGGAAAACGATTCTTCAAAGGACGTCCATCTGACTTCCAACTTAGCTGAAATTCTCAGAGCAGATGAAGCACTCGAGGAAATTGATGAGGAAGAAAATAGAGACGAGATGGAGCTGGAAGAGATAGAGGGTGGATGCATGTATCAACTCAATGACATTGGATCCAAATCATCTACCGGAGGTTGGTTTGTATCAGAGGGCGAGGCAGTACTACTCGCTCATGATGATGGCTCATGTTCGTATTACGACGTTGCTAACTGTGAGGTACTGTGCTTTCATTTTCTCAACAAATTTACCTTGTTTATGGAACGTTTGCCCTATCTGAAAAATTTATAGTATCATGCTTGATCTAAACTGCTGTGGAATAATCTAAACTGCTGTGGAACTTTGATATTACATTCTTATCTTGACCAGAGTATACACATTTCTCAAGTTACTATGATGATATGTTTAATATTGTGTTTCTTGGTTTAGATTTGGTTTTCATCTTAAACTTTTTGAAATACGTAATAACTAAAGCCATATTTTGGCCTATATGTTGTATGCAATACTCAAGGGCACTGCATGTAATTCTCTTTCAATCTAGGTGGCTTTGTATGGAGTGACTGAAATTCGTGTTCTCTGTATGCATTGTTATCTTTTACATCAATGACCTGAAATGTCTTTTCAGGTGAAAGCTGTGTACAATCCTCCAGATGGTATCTCACCAAACACTTGGAGAGATTGCTGGGTGGTTCGTGCACCGGGTGCAGATGGCTGCTCAGGTAGATATGTCGTAGCCGCTTCTGCTGGGAATACACTAGAGTCTGGATTTTGCTCATGGGATTTCTACACCAAAGACATAAAGGCACTCCACCTCGAGGATGGATCTTCAAGAGTTTCGAGGACGGCTCTTGCTCCTTTATCCAACAACACATCGCGTGGTAGGAACACTTTAGCTTGTTCATTGATACCAGACACTCAACAATGGTGGTATAGGCCATGCGGTCCTCTTATAGCTTCAACCTCTAGTTTCCAAAGAGTAGTTAAGGTTTTTGACATACGAGATGGGGAACAAATCATGAGATGGGAGGTGCAGAATCCTGTGTCAGCTTTAGACTATTCGAGCCCTTTACAATGGAGGAATCGAGGAAAACTTGTCATAGCAGAAGATGAAGCAATCTCTGTTTGGGATGTCAATTCCCTTCACCCTGAAGCACATGTCACCATCTCCTCTTCAGGGCGAAAAATCTCAGCTTTTCATATCAATAACACAGATGCTGAAGTTGGGGGAGGTGTTCGTCAAAGGTTAAAACTTTCTTTCACCATTTTAGCCTCTTCCTATTCTCCTCGCTTTGTCTTATAAATTGATCCTCTCTGAACATGATATACTTAAGTATCTCTTTCATTTGACTTATTAGTTTACCTTGACCTGAAATGCAGAGTAAGTTCCATGGATGCAGAAGGCAACGATGGAGTTTTCTGCACTACTGATTCAATCAACATCTTGGATTTTCGTAACCCATCTGGCATTGGTACTAAAATCCCCAAACTCGGTGTTAATGCTCAGTGTGTATCATCTCGAGGAGATTCAGTATTTCTCGGATGTACCAAGACTAAATCATCATCTGTTAAGAAACAGAATCTGGCTTCTTCTTCTTCTCAAGTGCAGCAATTCTCCTTAAGGAAACAGCGTCTCGTGAGCACTTACAATCTACCTGACTCAAATTCTCACTCGCACCATTCTGCAATAACACAAGTCTGGGGAAATTCAAACTTTGTCATGGCTACTTCCGGTATGGGTCTCTTCGTGTTTGATACTGCAAAAGAAGAGACCTTGCAACAGCCTTTGACAAGCGACCATGGAAGCTTCGAAACCGTAAGAGAGATTATCGGTCCAAACGATATGTATTGCCCTTCGTTCGATTACTCAAGCTCTCGTGTCCTCCTCATCTCAAGAGATCGTCCTGCTTTATGGAGACACCTCTTATAGGTAAAAAGCAATAAATTTTTTGAATCCCATTGTTTATATCACAATTTGTGTCAGATATTGACTGTTAAAAAATTTGATTTCAGGGAATATTTCAGATGAGTATGCCAAGAAATCAAGTTAAGATGGTGTTCCCACGATCTTCTCTTCTTTAAAAGGAGATCTATATATATAAATAGCACAGCTTGTGCCGCTTCGCTTGTGTTGTGTTCATACTTTTGCTCTCTGTTTCGCTACCAATTATGCTCTTCTGTATTCTCTCTTGTTTTTCTGCTCATCTGACTTCAGTTTGTACATAAAGCTTGTGTTTTGATCAATTTCACAGTTTTTGTTACTTAGAAACTTAAAGATTTGTCTGTTAATAATAAAAAAAAAAAACAGCTAATCAGATTTCCAAATCCAGTGACAACTTGTGAAATTTTTTTACCTCTAATGGTAGGGGCTGCTGCAACTTCTTCAAGACGCATACAGTCATCAACAAGTATTATTTCTAATTTGAGGAGATTAGGTCTTTGTTTATTAGTTTTAATCTGTTATCCCAAATCCATCATTTGCCCACCTAACACTTAAAATTATTTGTTTATTGTTCAAATAAATTAAAAACAAAAACATGATTAATTTCTCATAAATCAAAATCTGAATCTCCTATTCTTCCTCTGCTCAAAGATCTCTACCCCTTTCTTCTCCCTTTTCCTCTTTTGACATTAACAATCAAACAATAACTTGGGGCATGTCGGATTTAGCCAAAGATGCATGGCGAAAATATCTGATTCAGCTCCAAGCCCACCCTTTACGAACCAAGGTCCTAAATTTAATTAAAGATGATCAAGTCCTTATGGGTTTCGTCTAAAGTTTTGATTTTTAAGGTCTCTTTTCATTTGTTTGTGTGTGTGTGTGTGTGTTGAGTGTGTCAGGCGATCACTGCTGGGGTTTTAGCAGGTTGCAGTGATGCCATAGCTCAGAAGATCTCTGGAGTTAAAAGGATTCAGTTCCGGAGATTGTTTCTCCTTATGGTTCGTTGCTTTTTTCATGTTTGCTATGAGTTTGATCATACTGTTCTTGTTTCTGAGACTCTGAATGTGAATCTTGATTAATCTCTGTAGCTGTATGGGCTGTGTTATGGTGGGCCATTTGGTCACTTCTTTCACAAATTGATGGATGCCATTTTCAAAGGGAAGAAGGGTAATACAACAGTCGCTAAAAAGGTTTTGCCTTTCGCTTTCAAACGTTTTTGTTCTCTACAAAATAGTCATCTTCTTCAATGCTTTCTCTGTAAAATACCATAATCTCCTATTAAAGAACCAAATTTTATGAATTTGTGTTAATGTTGATGTTGAAGTAGATTTGGATTTTCTGAGAATTTCAGTGTGAAGTGGAATGGTCCAAAAGTCAGCTTATTTAGCTAGAGTTTTCTTGTTTACTTGTAGTAGTACCATTTGCATCTCCTGATTTTGATGATCAAAATCAGTATGGTTTCTAAATAAACTTGAAGGACCAATATTAATGCAGGTTTTGTTGGAACAACTTACATCCTCTCCATGGAACAATTTTCTTTTCATGTCTTACTATGGTTTAGTAGTTGAAGGTAGGATCATGGTCAGAGAGTTATCTTTTTGTTTTTCTCTTTAGTGATTTGTGATTTAGAGTAAGATCCTATGTCCTGCAATGTTTTTTACAGGGAGGCCATGGAAGCTAGTGAAGCACAAAGTTGGCAAAGATTACAGATCAATCCAGTTAACAGCATGGAAGGTAAAAGAATAATGTTACATTTTTGACATGTTTCAATTTGATGGTTCTGATTTCTGAAACTTTGTATGAAACAGTTCTGGCCTGTTGTGGGATGGATTAATTACCAGTATGTTCCTCTGCAATTCCGGGTCTTGTTCGGTAGCTTCATCGCCTCTTGCTGGTAAATTCTTGAATCTTTCTTTTCTCGTTCCGCTACTAAGAAATTTCATGCAAAAGGCTTTTGGAAACATTTATTTCTCTGGATACATTCAGGGGCATTTTCTTGAACCTGAAAGCGCGATCTGCAGTGATCAAGAACGCCTAGAGAACTCAATCTTGAAGAACACAAGTCTGAGTCTCCTTTTTCTGAAGTGCAGAAATTCTTTTAAAATTGAATCTTATGTAAAACTGGGAGATGTTTCAATAATTCAAATGCCATGTTTTTAAAATAATTCTCTCTAGTCCCTCTTGTTAGCAACTTATTTGACCATTTAACCATCGTTAGTTAGTCTCAAGTAGTCTAGAAACGTTAACAATTATTAGCCACCCACAAAACTCCTCGCTAGTGCAATGAGAATATAATACACGATCGTAGTAGGACCATAGGTTAAGTAGTTGGAAGTCGATCTCTTAACGAGCCACCATGACTTGGTTTAATTGAATTGTTAGCTTATTTAGATTTGTTTATAGATTATTGGCTAAAATTTTTTGTAGATATTATTCAAGTATAATACTGTAAGATGCTACTCCCCTAGTTTTTTTCTTTTCAAATGTTATGAAATAGAAAAACCATTTGTTTATCTAGACAAGAGTTTGTTTATGATAAAGACTACTTATCAAAAGCTGACCTACTTGGCTTTACACTATTATAGGAACTAAACTATCCCATACTGCTTTTACTTCACTTACTCATATTGGAGTAACTAATTACTTAACTCTTACCAAACTTTTAGTAGGTTTAAGGAACACACTTACGATTTCAATTATTTACAAGAAGTAGTGTATATGCTCTGTAAGCCTAATGATTCTTATTTTATCGGAAATTCGGAATTTAAACCCCATGTTATGAAAAAACTATATTTATATTCAGATTGTTCTTAAGCGTCCACCAAACTAAAAAACCATTAACCATTGTCCATCGACATAAAACTATAGTTTAGTATATCCTGATTCTCACTTTCACAGAACATAAAACAAAAGGACGTCCCATTTAGAAAAGAAGAACATAACAAAACTGATTTCGAGAAAGTTATTTTCTTGTACCAAGAAGACTTAAGGGACAAAACTTAAAGCACGTATGGAGTTGTTGTCTTGTAGACTAGAAAGTGCGTCGATGGAGACATAAATAGAGCATAGATATATGTGATGTAGATATGAAAACGTAAAATCATTTACGAATTTAAAGTACAACAATTAGTCAGTTGTTACTTGTTAGTAGTTGAAGCAACTTTTGAAGCAACTTAATTCAAATACTTTACTTAATAATTTTTAAATAGAGTTATTTTAATTGACTTCTAGTTATATATAAACGTTTGTAATGTTGATAAGTTTATGCTCATCGAGCTGCAAAATAAAATCACTACTAGAGATATGGGGCGTCTCGTAAATGGAGCTGCTATCTTGGTTTTGTTATGGTTCCATGTTGTTGTGGTGATCAATGTTGCTGCGAGAGATGGTGTGAGTTTTGGCAAAAATGAAGAGGAGAAGACCTTCATAGGAGGTGGAAAGGGCTTTGGAGGCGGTTTTGGTGGTGGACACGGTATAGGCATTGGCGGAGGTTTTGGCAAAGGCGGTAGTTTTGGCGGTGGGATAGGCAAAGGCGGTGGTTTTGGAGGTGGTATTGGAAAAGGCGGTGGCTTCGGTGGAGGAATAGGCAAAGGAGGTGGTTTTGGAGGTGGCTTTGGAAAAGGAGGTGGTTTTGGTGGAGGAATAGGCAAAGGCTTTGGAGGCGAAATCGGAAAAGGCTTTGGCCTTGGCGGTGGCAAGATTGGACACCACTGAGCTAAACGAGAAGAAAACTTATAGTTGCACTGCATGAGCGACTTGAGAATAAAATAAATTAGCTCTCACTTATTTGTCTATCTAGTATTGGATGAGTTTTTAAGAAATGTGGCTGCCTTTGTGCTTCCATAATATTTGCCTATCTAATGTTTGTTTCACTCTCAAGAATCCCATCCCTAACAAAAGAACCTAATAGGCCACATAACGTGACTACAGACAAGCCACTTGATAATGTGACTTGACTGACTCTTCATTCTTTAAGCGATTACCTCAACTCCAAGCAGGCACAACCTCAGATCAACCTCGTTGAGTCGTTGCTCCACCTAAGAACTCAAGCAACCTTGAACATGAGTCCTGTACAAACACACGACGCAAAAATGATTACGCCCTTCTCAAAGCCACACTTTCACTACTTTTTAAAGTTTCCTCCTCTTGATGCTACCTCCACTAAAACTGAATCAACTACCTCTAATCTCTACTAAAACTATACATGTAGGAATTTGACTCTCACCTCCATGGCTCCATCTACTTCTGCTCGCCATCTGCTTTCTTAATCGAGTACCTTATTCCCTGCTTAAGCTGTAACCATCAGGGCCAAGCCAAAATAAACACAATCAAAAACAACCATTCACGCGTGAACACTAGGACTAACAAACATAATATGAAAGCAGCAAAAGCCTGTAGTTATAATTCTGCTGAAACTCAAAAGGTACAGTCAAACGAAAAATAATAAACAAGACTTATTGTAATAAAATAGCACATGCTTATAAAGATTCAAGCAGTCCAACCCTTGATGAAGTTTTGATAATCACTTTAGATAGTGACTATTGGCCTTGCCGACCCTGACCACCATAGCCTTGTGACGGGTCAGATCGCCAAAATCCATCACCATAACCTCCTCCCATGTAGCCACCACCACTACCAGGGTTGTTCGAACCCCCACCACTAGGGCGTCCTCCAACAGCACCATATGCAGCTTGATTTCCATAACCAGAATCACCTCCATATCCGTAACCTTGGTTACCATAACCTGATGGTGACTGCGCAGAAGGAGCTGCACCGGGAACTCCATATCCAGTCTGAGCAGCAGCACCGTTTCCATAGCCTGGGTTCCCATAACCACTAGGAGCTGGAGCGTCCCATGAGTTTCTCGGAGCAATTCCAGTACTAGCTCCATAGCCAGCACCTGGCATGCTCGTTGCTCCGTATGCAGCACCAGCACCAGCACCATAACCCCCAGCAGAGCCTGTGTAACCTCCATAGCCACCATACCCGACACCGTTACTACCATTTCCATACCCAGCGCCATAGCCAGAAGAACCATAAGATGGTAAACCATTTCCTACACTTTGTGGCTGCATAAACCTATTGGAATCCACACGTCCCTCGTAACTGCTTTCATTGCCACCATAACCCTGGTAAGAGCCACCACCACCCATGGACCGTCCAGCACTTCCAGGATTGGCGTCTTTAGGAAGAGCACGCTTTACTTCGACTTGCTTACCGCTCAAATCATGGAAGTTCTTGTGCAACACACGGTCTACAGCATCTTCAGAGTCGAAGGAAACAAATCCAAACCCGCGAGGACGGTTGGTGGTCTGGTCATGCATGATTACAACATCAGCCACAGGGCCATAGACCTCAAAGTACTGGCGAAACTCTTCATCTGTCAAAGTAGGAGGCAAGCCTCCAACAAAGATCTTCTTGGTTTTATTGTAAGCATCACCTCCAGAACTTCTAGATGGATTAAGATTACCAGATCGTCCAGAGACTTGCTGCTCCTCTCTTGACATGGCTCTCTTCACATCAACCTAAAACGTCATCCGAAAAACCAATAAACCTCAGGATAAACCTCCAAGATTAATCAACTTTACCCAAAGCAAGAACATAGCACAACTGAAAATATCTAAATCTATATCTACTTTTCCTTAAAAACCAAAACCAAACTTCTCTTTACTAATACTACACTCAAGCACTTCTTTGAGAGTATGATTCACAGCGAGAGTCAGTATCCAAATCCACAACAAAACAAAGATCGATTCATTTCGAAAATTAACCAAAAGGAAGTAGCCTACATTAGATTCCCCTAAAATGCCTCATGAGGGAAGATTTGCCAACCACACACATAGTCTATAAGGCAAAGAAAAATTAAATTTTCAATTTTGTCTTCAATGCCTACGAGTCACAAACACAGCTAAACGCAAAACGGCAAAACATAAACAAGGAAACAAAACAGAAAGTGGAGAAATGGAGCTATAAGAGAGCAATAATAACCTCTCTGGTATCAATGTGATGTTTTTCTTGAAGAACCCTTTCGAGAATAGAAGGATCGGAGAAGATAACGAAACCAAAACCCCTAGGTCGGCCTGTGAGCTTGTCCCTCATCACAATAGCCTGCGAAACATCACCAAAGCTGCTGAAATGTTCTCTTAGCTTGTCTTCGTCGGTTTCCCATGAAATACCACCGACGAAAAGCTTCCCTTGATCTGAATCCATGAGTAATAGTAATACCACTCTCTTACTCCCTTTCTTCTCTTCTGACCCAGAAATCGAAAAATCCCCTTCAATACAAATAAATACAGAAAACCCACTTCAGAAACTACGGTAGATTACGGAAAGGGTTTAGCTTTGGAGAGAGAATCAAGGTTGCCGAGAAAGAGAGAGGAAATGGCTGTGGCCGATTTGAGAGGAGGAGGAAGAAGAAAGAAGACAGCAAAACGAATATTTGATATTTTCTATTGGTTTGGTATCGATGTTCGCAAAGAGACGAATCTGTCTACAGATAGATTTATCAACGGCCCAGATCTTTTTCTAACTTTGGACGGTTCAGATTCGTTTTTTGTTTTGAAAGAGATCCTAAATTGTGGGCCTAATTTGGCCCAATGGAAACGTAATAGGAAAGTAAAATACATAATGGGCCTTCAAGACCATTATTGATTTCGTGGCTTCTTCATTTAACCTTGTGGACAAAATCAAAAAGTAATTTTATGATAGCCTGATCCGGATCCGAATCCGAATCCAACAGAAATATAGCTAAATATAATAATTAAATTAGTGTTAAAAAGCTAAATATAATTAAATTAATATTATCAAATTCTTAAATAATAAAATAACCTAAACTATTAAAAATATATATATATATATATCTTATATATAAAAGACAATCGACTCGGGAGAGAGTGACACATCAGGAATGGAGAGAGTGACATGTGTCACATCCTAAAATTGATAAACTAAATAATTAATTAAATTTAAAGCAAAACACATTAAAAACATAATAAAGATTAATATATATATATATATATATTAGAATGCAATTCAAATTTAATTTAACTATAGAAAAATTTATAAATTTTATATAATACAAGATTTCTTAGATGCACTATTCTATTTTCTTCTTTCAAGTGATTTAAATTTCATTTTCAAACTAAAAATATATTAAATTTTAATGCAAAAAAAGACTTAATAAATTACGAAGTTTCAAATATTCTTATATAAAACTTCAACTAATAAATTAAAAAACACAAAAATATTTAATAAACGCTTAAAGAGATAACAATTATTATTAAAAAAAATTAGTATAAAGAAAGATGTGCACGTAAAAATGTCATACATGAATTTTAATTAAAAAAATGGAATCAATAAAATATATATAACTAAAAAATTCAAAATGGTAAATTGAAAAAGTTAACAAGTATTATATTAGTAAGATTTACAAGAATAAAAAAAATATGAAGATCGAAGAACAAATAAATATTCCTCTCTGATATTAAACGTATATTTATAAGTGAATTATTACGTTTTCATACAAAATTTAAAATAGTATATTTTTAATCGCTTATTATTTTGGAAGAAAAATTAGACTATTTGACACAATCGGTGTATAAGAGATTACAATTAATGTATCATCAAAAAGAAATCAAGGAAAATATAAATATTTTAAACGCAAAAACATTGATAATAAACATAAAATTCAATACAAACTTTAAAAATATAGTATTTAAATATATATTAAAACAAGACTTCCGTATACATGCGGGTTCTCTCCTAGTATAACTAAAAAGAACTTATTATCTTTTAAACATCTTATAACATATAAGTAAGTCTGTCAAATAATTTTTTATCTCACCAATATAATGTCCATATCAGTTAAAGTATGGATAAAATTTGAAGGTTGCAATAAATTGATAGTGTCATCATTTGTGACCAGTGAAGATAAATTAAATTTATGAGGTTTTATCATTGTGATCAGATATCATAAAACGTTAGATGCGTCAAAATTTTCAATCAAGAATTATATACAATTGTCAATTAAAATAGCTAAAATAGATGGAAGATAAAATTTAATCTGGAGTTCCTCCAAAGTTTTGGAGTTGGTAGTCAAAATCACAAAAGATATACAAAGTTGTTGTGTTTCAGAAACAGTCAAAGGACTAATGAAATATAGTTAAAAGGAAAAGATTGAAGTTCTTCTAAGTTAGTAAGAATTTACATAAATTGTTTTCTAACAAGACAACACATCAGTTTAAATATAATGGAATCAAAATTAAACCAATAAACAGAAATTAATTAAAATATAATTTTTTTGTTATATTTTACTTATTATAATAAAATATTTGATGTAAATGGATAATATCTGTTACTTTTACCCAAAAATTTTGTGGAAAGGTAATTCATAACATCAGAAAACAAAATTCATTCGTGTGCTTCGATTTCATGAGTCAGCCAAACCACAAGAAAATCTTTCAGTGCTGTGATAATCTTTGCTCCAGATGTGCACTTTGGTATCTAAAATTCCAAAGTCACCATCTTACAGCTTTAGTACTTGCAATGATTAACCCATATGTTTATTAGTCTCTAAATTGACCCTCATATATATATATAATCCATTTTAAAAAATTAAACAAATTCCAAGGCCTACCTATAACGACAATACATGCACGTTCTCGAGTAAAACCTTAAATTTTGGTTTGAGATTTTTCAAAAAAAATAAAAGAGGCTTTGATTTGAGAATTGTCGCTTTGTCAGCTTTCACTGAAAAAAATTTAAATAACAACAATAATGATTAATGATTACTATGACTAATTAATAAATCCCATAATTACTTTCAAAAGGGTTATTCAACGCATGAAAATAAATGTGAAGACGCTGATATCAAAAGCGGCAAAAATGTGGGGACTAAATTTACAAACTTTGTTATAATAAAAGAAATCAAAATAAACAGTTCAGCCTCAACAACGAAAAAGCCGTTTCTATTGCTTCTTTATTTCCCTTTTTCTCTGTGTTCTTTCTTTGTCCCTTCGATCTCACTGAGTTTTCTCCTCTGGAACAGCTCGATTTTGCGTTTTTAGGGTTTTGCACTCAAAAATTTCTTGTTCAATCTGAATCCATTTTGTTCTCTTGGGTTTATTCGATTGATCAAATCGTGAAGAAATATGGTAAAATGAGAAGAAGGTTGGTGATTGTTTGATTTTTCTCACGATGGAACAGCTTGTTAACTTCATCATTCGACCTCCAAGGTGAAGAAGCTCTTCATTTTTCTCTGTATTGAAACTTGCTTTTTCTGGAATTTTGGTTTTTTTTTCCTCCCTCATTACTAGGTTGTGGAAATTTCACTTTTTGTAAGTCTATAATTAAAAAAAAAGCGATTAGAATTGGGTTTAGCGTCAAGTTTTAGAGTTTGAGGTTTGAAAGTTTGAAGTTTTGTTCTTGGTTACGAGTTGATTTTGGTGATTAGGATCCCCATCTTTTAGATGAAGCAGACTAGGATTTCACTTGCATTAGGTTAGAATCACTCAAGTAATCCCTGTTTCTCTTTGAAATCCATTAGAAGTGTTTTTTCATTTTGTTCATTTTGTTAACTTTTTTGAACCATCTACATTTGCATATAATTGGTGTGAATGCAGAGCTGAATACAACCCGGAACATGATCTCTTGGAACAGGAGTTCATGCTGAAAGGGAGATGGTACCAGAGGAAAGATTTAGAGGTGAAAGCTTTACATTACATTTGAAAAGTTCATAAAAGCAAACAACCTATTGTAATATAGCATGTGCGCATCAAGGCTTTAGGTTTTGAACCTCTGTCTCTGAAGAACAAGATAAGAATACTCTGAAGATTTTTGTTGTTGTTGTTATGCTTTCCTATGTAAAAAGTCACAGAAAACATACTTGTTATTGCCATTCTTTTCTCTAATTCGACTAGTTACGGTGGCCTTGCTTTTTATGCCTTAAGGATCTTAAGTCTTAGTTGTGTTTTCCTTGCCTAAGGTTATAGGGGATCTTTATATCTGACAGGTTAAAAACAGCAGGGGAGATGTCCTTCAGTGTAGTCATTACATGCCAGTTGAGCGTCCTGAAGATAGGCCTCTACCTTGTGTAATATACTGCCATGGAAACAGGTAATTGTAAATTTTTAGTTTATAGGAATTTGATTTGAGCTGTGCTGGTGAACTACGCTTAAATAACTCATCCTTTATCTGATGCAATAACTGTTAGGACACTATGAAAACCATGCTTTGAAATGAAAAAACTGATTCCAACACTCTCGTACAGGAGTTTCCAATAGTCATAAGTTGTCTACTTGATTTGTTACTGTCCAACCTATTTCCTGTTGTGCAGTAGTGATTCACCACCTTACCTTCCCTACTCCCTTGGTTGCTATTGTGTCTTTTAGCATACTATTCATTAATGGCCATATGATTATACAGTGGATGTAGAGCTGATGCCAGTGAAGCTGCGATTGTATTACTTCCATCAAACATCACAATTTTCACGCTTGACTTTTCGGGATCTGGTCTCTCTGGCGGGGAGTATGTCACTTTGGGTTGGAACGAAGTATGTACTCCTCTGAACTTTTCTCAAAATATTACTCTTCGAATGTTATGGCCTAAACTTATGGCTGTTTGTAGTATACAAGCAGTCCAAAGTCGATATACATCTGCTTCTCGATAGATATTTCATATTGGTAGCGTATGCTACTTCATTTGGTCTATACAGTACCTTATTGTTATCTTTCTGAAGAAAGATTCCCACAATGATATAAAGGTTGTGATGCTCTCGTTCATGGTAGCTGACAAGTGGGAAAATCATGTAGGATTGTAGGTGTCCTTGGTTAGGTTGTTGATAGTTTCTCCTTCCCTCATACTTACTGGGTTCAGTAGTAATTATCCTGAATCATGAGAGTGGTAACTTATCTTGTTATTGTTAAACGTGACGTGGGTGGTTGCAGAAAGATGATCTAAAAGCCGTGGTTGAGTATCTGCGCACAGATGGAAATGTCTCCCTGATTGGCTTATGGGGTCGTTCAATGGGTGCTGTCACAAGGTTCCTTTATGTCTTTCATCTGTCAAATTACCTAATAAGAGTATTTTTATTTCCAGTCTTGCATGAAGTTTCAACTAACTGTATAAAACTGAAGATTTACATATTTGGTGAACCCCTTTTTTCATTACTAGTGAAGAGGAGAATAGTTGTTGAGAACTTGAGATAAACAAATGAAATATTCTGTGCTTAGAAAACATGACACTTTCCATCTAAGTGGTTGGCAATAGCTATAACATGTCAGAACTCAGACGTCAACCACCGTAACTTAAAATTTTGTTGTTACAATCATTCCTCCTGTCTGCTCGACAATGAAATCATTCTGTTGCCAAACTTACTTTCCAGCTTGATGTATGGAGCCGAGGATCCCTCTATCGCAGCGATGGTTCTAGATAGCCCATTCTCTGATTTGGTTGACTTGATGATGGAACTTGTAGATACATATAAGTTTCGGTTACCCAAGTTTACCGTAAGTAATAGTAAATATGTAATTTCTGTTTCTTGTGGGATTTGTTCTGCCTACAACAAGGTTTCCCCAAATTTTTAATTCCGCTCGTTCAATTTTATTCAGATAAAATTTGCAATACAATATATGCGGAGAGCTGTTCAGAAGAAAGCCAAGTTTGACATAACAGAACTCAACACCATTAAGGTTGTTTCCTCTGGTAGTTTGTCCTTTTCGTCTAGTTGATTACTTAGATGAATCTATTCTTTAGCATCCAACCACATCATTGTTTTTGGTGATCATTTTCGTATTTGCTCATAAAAGTTTTTCATTTCAATATCAAATTCAGTTGTTAGTAGGGATTTTGTTTGCTTTCTGTGTTTTTATTTGTGTGATGTTTGTTTCTCCTTTTTTAATTTTTATCGTTCATGCTGCAGGTAGCCAAATCTTGTTTTGTTCCAGTTTTATTTGGACATGCCATAGACGATGACTTTATTCACCCTCATCACTCGGAGCGTATATATGAAGCATACATAGTAAATTTTTCTATGCCAGACTTTCTTCATATTATACTTCCTTCCTCTAGCTACAGAATTATTCGATAAACCCTTGAAGATATAACCTTTAAACATCTGGCTTTTGATTATGCCAGGGAGACAAAAATATCATCAAATTCGAGGGAGACCACAATTCACCACGCCCACAATTCTACTTCGATTCAATAAACATCTTTTTCCATAACGTTCTTCAACCTCCAGAGGTGGTTGGTCCAAGATTTTTTGACCCGGTGGATGATTACTTTTCCAAGGTAATGAATCTTGCAGCTATGCATATGCGTGTTCTTGTCCCTTTTGCGAGAAATGTCAATAATGTTAACTGTTTTATGTTCAGGGCAGTTGGAGCACCATGCAAGAACTAAGATCTCCACAATCCCTAGCACAGAAAAGTAAGTCATCTGGGTTTTTCTCTATGTTTATCTTAGGTTTTATTGTATCGTTTAGCCAACATCTTTTCTCATTGATTTCAGGTGTATCTGCGGGGAGCACCTCCGATGCAATAAATGAAGTCCGTTTGAAAAGACCTATGAGTCGCACAGAGGTTGGTTTTTCGTGACTACGTTCTGCATCTGCAACTTTTAATGTTAGTGTCCAAAACTGTTTGCTCACTACATGCTTGAAATACGGAATAATCAGTTTCCTTCCTAATGTTTGTATCTTTCAATTTTGAAGTGAGTTCAGAGCTAAAAATAGAAAATCACCATCTGACTTCCAAAATTGTAATCGTAAAACCATGTAACTGTTCTTGCATAGCTATGAAACTAATAGAGTTTGCTTCACTTGGTTCTTTAAAGAAAGATAAAATGTAGAAGAGTTTGCTTCACTTGGTATTCAAAGAAACTAACTACCCACAAGTGTCTGTGGTATAATTCCCTGTTGATAATCTTTTATTACTTCTCTCAGGTTCCTTCAACCGCCCCATCTAATCAATCATCATCAGAAACCAAGGTATAAGATCAGTTTCCTTTTATTGTTGTTGCGGTATGGTTATGGTCATTGGCCATCAACTAATCAGTTTGATTTAGGTTCGTAAAGGATCTTAGATTAACAATAGTAGAGACACTAGTGCTAGAGTGACCAACTTCTGTACATATAAAATTACTCCGTGGAAGAGAAACAATAAAAGAAACAGAAATGAAGAAGACTCCTGATGTTGCATGATATGTGATTTATTTCAGGAAAAGGAGAATCACGAAGGTTCCAGTAGTTCATCTTCTGATATGATCAGCTTTGATTTGTCTAATGGGGATCCGTATCCTCATCTTGCGGTAGCTTTAGATGATGATCAATATGTGGAGTTTCACGTAGAGGAGTTGGCAGATTTTCCATCTAATGCAGAGGAAGAAGAGAGGGTGAGAAGCTTATTGTGCACCTTTGAACCCTTCTTATGACTATGCTCTATATTCGTTTGTTCACATATCTTAATGGCCTCAGATGCTGATGGAAGCTGTGATGAAATCGCTGAAGGACGTGAAGGTCGAAGCTCATCAAAACAACGAACCTTCCAAAACCAATACAGAGAACACTGAGGAAAAAGAACCAGAATCTGCACATTCTGAGACAGTTTCTGCTTCCGGTCCAACACCAAGTAACCATGATGCACCATCATCTTCTGAAGCCAATGGTCCTTGCAAAACATCGGATTCTCTTTCAGGACCTGTAAATGGTTTGGTTCCTGGTTCTTCTCCGAGAATGAGTCAGAACACAAGTGACGCCATTGATTTGTCAGCACGTACAAAAGCAACAGTAACTGTGGTTGCACGTAGTAGCACATCAGGAAACGTGTTAGAGGGGTTATTACGCCGATGGGATCTAAATTTCTTCAAAAGTAGATAATTTCATAAAGTTGTGTTTTGTTTTGGGTAAATTAGAAAGGAAAGCTCAAATGTTTTAAAGGTTTGTCATGATAACTTTATATTCTGGTTATGGTTTATATATGTTGTGTGTTCGGAAAAAAAAAAAAAAAAAAAATCTATGTAAAGTGTCAAAAGAAGAAATCCTCTCTTGTTGGCTTTAACCAAGAGGTCTTTTATCCTCTTTTTATGATCATGTAAAATGAGATGACCATCTTACATATATTTTGATCACTAATCCTACTTTTATGAACATAGGAAACAGTCAAACAGAGCATGTATTTTAAGCATGTTTGCCTTTCTTCACATTGGAAACAGAGCAAATGCTGTGGAGGAGAAGAGCAAAAGAATATAGACCATTTGATAAACTTGTTAAAGACAATGAATTCAAGACAATGTGGGTTTGAGACAAAGTCAATGTCTCTTAACTTTCTTCCCTGTGAGCTATTAGTCTAATTCAACAACAGCATTGCTTCTTCAATAAGTTCATTGATCGTTGAGCCATGGCGTGCCAAACCAACAGTGCCCGAGAATATATCAAAGTTCTCAAGCTCAGACGCGGTCTCAAAGACTGTCTCTAATTCATTCTTCATCCCAAGGTTTTGGAAATTCTTGACCGTCTCAGGATTAGCTTTCATCATCTGAATGGTTAGCTCTATTGCAAATCTCCTGATTCTTGGAACCTTTGGCACTGGCTGTTCATATCTCTTGAGAATCTTGACTAATGCATCGGCTAGTTCTTCCTCGCTTACTCCTGCTTCCTTGAACATTGTTCTTGATTCTTCAGGGCTCATTAACTTGAGAATATGCGGTGCTAATCCCACCATTACTTCCTGAATTTTCATCTCTTCAAACTTTATCGCTTTAAGAACCTGTACCGACAAGACAACATTAGTGATTATGATGATAATGGTTCATGAATTTAATCAACTTTCTTCTGGATCAAGAACATGAGGACTCACTGTTGCTCCTGCAGTTTTAACTTCCTTAAGCTGTTCATTGAACTTATCAGGAGCTGTATATGCACAAAGATTTCGCAAGATTCTCCCTGCATTCAACCAAACCAACGGATTGTTCAACGCCTTAACAAGTCCCTGAAGAATATCATCTGTTCTTAAGATCCTTTGGCAATTGCTTTGACTTCCTTGAGCTAGCATAGCTATAGACTCACCAGCAGATACTCTCACACCACTAGTCTGATCCTCTGGAATCTTATCGTTCAAGAATATGCAGAGAAGTCCCTTTAAAACCCCACCAGTGCCACCAATCTTCTCGGTTGCACCTTCATCGAGCGCAAGAAAAGTCAAGATCTCTGCACCAAGCTTCTGCAATTCAGGCCTTCTCTTTCCATGGCGTAATGTTTCTCTAATGTTGCTCACTGTGAAGACAACTCCAGAGATATCTCTCCTCAAGTTTCTCCCCGTTGCACCTGTAGTTTTCACCAGCCTCCTTAACAGCTTCAAAGACCGTTTCACAGCCAAGAGCTTATTAGATTCAGAAACAGCAAGATTTGAGTCCTTCAACAACCTCTTCTCAGCATAAGTGAAGTCAATGATCTTTGAAAGCAACCCTTTTGTTTTCCCAATCTTTCCACAGTTATCATGATCTCTAGCTAACCTTTTCAGAATCAACAATCCAAGATTGTTGAGCGACCACAAATCGGTTTGGTTAATACTGTTTTCTCCAAGCTCATCTGTGGCTTGACCTGAATCTCTTGTGCTTTCTAAGATAGAAGCTATCGACTCAATCGCTCCTGGAATCCCTGTAACTCTCAGAGAATTCTGCTTCTTGCTAGCTAATCTTGAGAGAATCTCTGCAGATGACATTCTCATAACTTCTTGATTCTTGTTTCTCCAATTCAACATCTCAACCAACCTCTCTATGATCTCAAGATTAGTCCCAATCTTCTGCAGAGTATCAACCGAATAGTTCTCGTTTGAGGAGAATCTACAGAGAATCTCTGCTCCAGTGAGCTGCTCATCAGGAGAGTTGGACAACAAAAGCTCCATGGCGAAAATCACCATATCCATCTTCAATCCATCGAAGATGCTCCCATTTAGACACCTCGAGTAAGCATTGTAGAAGAATCTTCTCACTGAATCGGTTCCAAATCCCTCTAGACCACATTCTTGATTCACTTTATCAAGAATCTTGAAAACGCTGATCATCCATTCCCAGTAAGCTTTCTCAGCAAGAAAGAGAAGAGCCTCGGCGAGTGCTAGAGAGTAGAAGAGCGTCAAAGAAGGGTGAAGATTGGTGCTTTTGCCTCCATAGTCTTGCTTGATGAGCTTGGTCACTGAGATAACAATGCTTGCGAAACCAGAAGCAATCTGGAGCCAGTAAAAGACTCTACTAACGTTTCTTGAAACAAAAACCCATCCTGTGTAAGGCAACATAGGAACATCTGAGCTTTTCCATGTCCTTGTCCGTGCGATCTGCCCTGAGTTCCTCTGCTCTCTTCTCGTTTCTTGAACCTCTGTATCGTCTGTACGATCTCTACCCGAAATCTGGTGGAATATTTGAATAACTTGTCTGACAAGGAACCTGAAGCTGTTGATTCCAGAGATTGTGTACTTAGGCTGATGCTGCAACTCAAGCTCATGGCTTCTGCTGAAAATCCGAGCTCCTTCCACGACAAGAATCACAGTGACAAACCAGAAATCTGTTGTCTCTAAATCTGCTGCGAATCCACCAAGAAGAACAACTGTTGCCCAAACGAACCCTAAAGATCCCAACCGTGAAGCAATCTGTGGTTACAAGTTAATCAAGAACACATTCAAGACTCAAAAATAAGTCCTAAAAATTACAAAAGAAACGAAGATGGGAGTTTCAAGAACCTTCTCAAGAACAGCAAGTCGTAAGGCAAAAAGTGTCAGTTTTTTCTCCGGGGCAGGAGCTGACAAATGTGTCAGTCTCCGAGGTTCTGGGGTCGAACTCTCGACTGGTCGGAAAATAGTCCTGCCAGAAGAATCGTGATGTTCTACTTCTAAGACCATATGGGAAGTAGGGTCGACCATTTCAGACAAAGCAGAGAAAGATAACAAAATTAATTATGAAATTGGGTTAGTTTCATAATTCGTTATTTGTGTTTAAGTTTTGGTCATTAAACTTAGTCGGAGACTTTCACCATGCACGTCTTAATCTCCTCTATTATTTTGTATTAACTTTTCTTAATCTCGTTTACTATTATTATTATTATATTTTTGTAATTTTAATATATAAATATGTATTGATCAAACATTGTGAATCTTGTGATGGTTGAGCTGGATCTTCCAAATTACAGGGTCATTAGACATTTTTTTTTTTAATTCAAATTGATCAAAGTGATTTATTTTTGTTTGGGATGAATTGTAAACATTGTGATGCACGTCGATTGCAATCTACAAATACTTGACGAGACATGTTCAGACATCAGTAGATGATTTAGTCAATCAAACAATCAATTCGCAAACTAAATAAAACGTTTGATAATTCAATATCAAAGTGATCAAGTTATACATATTGTTAGCTAAGTAGTTGTGGGCTAACTTTATGTATATAAAGCTCTCAATTGTTTTTTTTTTATTCTGATGTTGGATCACTTGACTCTTTATATTTATTTGTATGAACTTCTAAACAAAAATTTCAAAATTTTTATACCGAAAAGAAGAAACAATAGGAAACTTTTTGCAATCTTTTATTTATTTCGCAAAAATTAATAATAATATAGTCTTTTATAACTGTTTTTTTTCATGCGTTAAGACGTCAAAAAATTATGATGCATGCATGCATTATGCATACTTTAACAAAAGCAATGACATACATGTTTATGTCCAAAAAGTTTGCAAAAACCTCCTTTTTCGCATCCTTCAACGCAAAATTTCCAACATTTTCCATCATATTCAGGATTGTCATCGATCTTTGGAATACATCTTCCTAAATGCCGATGTTCTCTACAACATCTCGAGTTCATATCATATGCCCACGGTGCAATGTTTCCTTCTCCATCTATTTTGTTGAATCCTATATATAACATTTAATACACAATTTGACTGTTAATTCCCGACTTTAAAACTTTAGAGAAAAGCCTAATGTTTAGTAATAGACATTAAAAGAAAACATACCCATACATAGCACGAGAGCCACAAATAAAACCAAAGAAACAATCTTTGTTCTTGACATCTTTCTCCTTTTTTTTTTTTTGTTATATCAAAACACCACCAATTGTTAGTTTTTTTCTTTGAATGAGAACAAAACAAAAGAGGTGTTTCATATTTATAACTAGAACTATAATTATGGTTCATTTGAATAAAACATTAGAAACTTTTCTTGTTCAACCAAATTAAATGTATTTCCAAAAGATTTGGTCCACCCTTTATTATATTAGTGCTTTTTAAAATGTAATGAGTGCCACACTTATAAGCTAAGCTTTTGAATGATATCTATGGACTTTTGGGTTTGGTTTTTTGTGGTTTAATTATGGGCCTAGAAATTAAACTCAAAGAAAAGACTTGTAAGCATCACAAGAACCAGCCAATTATTCATTGTAATATGTTGTACAAGATTCAAGATTAGATAAAAACACTGATGCAAATGTTTAGCAATTGCTTCGATTGAGCACAATGGAGACACTAGTGTTGTGAGAAAGTGTTGGAATAATCCGAAGCACCTTTTTAAACCATTTTTCCTTAAAGTAAAAACCTCCCAACCGCAAAACCATCGTTTCTAGTGTCTTTGCGTTTCTCAGCACCAATTCCATGAACGAAGCCAAGAGTAGTTTCCACGTTGAAACTTTACACCGCGAAATCGAATACATGTCTTCATATGAAGTAGGAAAGTCACTGTATATCCATCTCCAATGTGCATCCAAATAGATTGCAAGTTGCACATCCTATAGAACATAAAAAATTAATATACCAACGCAACTATAAATTATTTGCTTTAAAAAGAGTAAAAAGAAATAAAATGAAAAATAAAAGAGGTTTGTTGTAAAGATACCAATATGTTTTTCTCCATTGGGTGTACTATTAATTAACTTCTTTTAAGTCAGGTGAATTTTGTAGTAACCTTGCTAGACCAGGAATAACAGATCGAACAAAATTCGTCTTAACAATCAACGTTTGGACTTTGAGCACTTCGAAATGAACACCACCAAGCTCCGCATGAGATAGAATCTAACAGAAAAAAAGTTACATGCAAGGTTAAATCTCTAAAAAGGGATAACAAAAACTAATTGTGAAAATGTACCTAGCAAGTTCATGTTTTCAAGGTGTTGTTGATTGTACAAGTCCTTATATATGCCCTCTTAATTAAACAATGAAACCTTAATTAATCATCTAACAAACTGTGAGTCTGCTACTTTATAAGGCTTTATTGGTACAAAATAACGTCTGCAAACTAATCAACAAACAAACAATCACCAAAGTTGTAGCCCTAAATTAGAGAATGCAAGAATAACAAACATACCTGAAGAAAAGTTGCACCAACAGTAAGCCTCTTTACATTATGCAACTTTGCTAGTTGAAGAAAATCAGCCTTCGAAGAAAAAACTATGTTAATGTGAATGTCAAGGTTAGCTTCGGTCAAAGAAGAGACATCCGCTAAAGTAAATGTTTTCTCAGAGCTTTTCAATCTCAAATAAAGGATATGTGGCGCTACAATCTCTGTTGGTCCTTGAGGAGAATAGGAAGTGTGATCTATCTCCAGCCTTGCCAGACTCAGTGACTTACTCAGGTCAATACGTTGAGGTATAAATCACAGTTATACAAAGCCAAGCTTTCGAGATTTGGACAACCAGAGATAATCTTTGCAAAGGGTTTAACTCGAAGCCTACAGCCACGGAGTGATAGGTTCCTTAGGGATTGCCAAGAAACTATGCATGTGGGAATCATATACATATATCCCGTTTCTACGCTGAGTTGCTTTATAGAGGAACATAGATAGAAACACTCCGGGAAATTATAAGTCTTTTTACGACCATTCAAGTTCAAAGACAGCTTCTGCACACTGTGGGAGATAGCGAACTCGATCCATCTATCAATCTTGGTTGCAAAGTGATTATAACGACACAAACTAAGATGGAAACTCATGATTTTGGGAGCTGTGAAGTAAGTTAGGGTTTGGTTTATCTCTTGAGCCGTCGCTTTTAAGTCTTCGATGTAGAGAGAAGTTGTCTCGCACCATACATGCCTCCATCGTCTGGACAAGACTGAAGTTCTGATGGCGCAACTGGTCGGAATAAAGGAGAGAATTTGGTGGAGGATCTCATCTGGCATAGAGCTGATAAAATCTTCTTTTGATAGTTTGATTTTGGGGCGTTTGCTAGGTTTCTTACGACATTGTTTGTGGAGCCGTCTACGTCGCTTATCAGCCATTGCTAGCAATGATCTGCAAAAAAGTTTTAGGGTTTGTTCTTTTTGTTTGTTTACGGCGCACATTTCTATTTATAATAATGTGAATAGGCTTCTTTCCAAGAGAACATTGGTCCAATCTTTATTATATTATTAGTCCCTTATATAAAATGTAATAATGAGTTTCATACTACTACACTAAGCTTTAGGATGATGGTATCTATAAAATATCTATGGACTTTTGGATTTGGTTTTGGGCCTGGTACTCAAAGAACAGACCTGTAAGCATCAGAATAACCTTAAGAAATTGTTATGTTTCTTCAAGAGGAAGAAACACAAGTTGATAAACAAAAAAGATGGCAAGGGCAGCTTTCGAATAAGCTTATTGAAGCTAATTGCTTTACTCAAAAAATCACTTGTGATGGTTTCTTTGAGTGCATTTACAAAGAACAGTACTAGGATAGTCAACTGTAAGATTTTCACTCAAAAATTTGATAAACAAATAATATCACTTCTCCAAGTGTTGAGCTATTCAATGTAAAATATTTTATAAGTTTCAAAATTAGATAAAAAAGTCACTGATGCAAATATTCAGCAATTGCTTCATTCGAGCACAATTGAGACATTGGTGTTGTACGAAAGTGTTGGAATAAACCATTTTTTTTAAAGTGAAAACCTCCCGACCATACAACCATCGTCTCTAGTGTCTTTGCGTTTCTCAGCACCAATTCCATGAACGAAGCCAAGATTTTCCACGTTGAATCTTTACAATGCAAAATCGAATACATGTCACGCGAGGAAGGAACACTACAAAAATGCAAGCCAAAATCCTACAGAAATTTTGACAAAATTATTTTGTAGGAATATTTTTAACCAATTTCCTGATGAAAAATCGAAATGATAGGAAATTGATAGAAAATTTTCTACCAAAATTTTGTATCAAAAAATGGTAAGAAATTTCCTACCAATAACCTACCATATTTATATTCGTAGAAAATTTGGTCAAAATTTAGAAGGAAAATAGTAGGTCCTAATTGACCGTTATACTGGTAGGTATTTCGTCAGAAAATTCTTACCCATTTTTAACGAAATATTATCTGTAGAAGAATCGTAAGAATTCTGTAAAAAATTTGGAAGGAAAGTGGTAGGATCCAATTATTATGTTAGTGGGTATTTGTCGGAAATTTCTTAAATATTTTTGACGAAATCTTATGTGTAGAAAAATAATTTTTTTAGAAATTTTTGGTGGTGTTTATATGATGTTTTTTTGTCAATTATTTATTTTTATTTTTATTAAATTTTTTACAAATTTCTTACCAAAATTATAAAACCTAGATCTATAATAGATCTGCAACTTCTTGGCCGTAAATAATTTTTCTGAGACAACTTCTTAGTTTTTTTCTTCTCTTTATCTAGTAAACCTTTGCAGTGGGATCATCAATCCAAGACTACAACTTTTTTTAGTTCAATTTTTCTCCTTTCTTCTCTCCTTCTTATCTCTTGTTCTTCTCCTTCCTTCTCTCCTTCTTATCTCTCCTTCTTACCTGAATTTGGTGGAGATAAGAATCAGTTTTTGCTGAGTATCATATTCCTCCTCAATGCATTGTTATTTGTACATGCAGGTTTAAAAGAAGGATTTGGAGGATTGGCGGTCTCCTCTCCGCCGGTGCTGAGGCGTGGTTCATTCAAGGTGTGGCCAGGTGGTGCGGTGGCGGATTCAAAAGGATGGTGGCTAATCGATTTTTTTTTTTTGCTGAGTTCTGGAGATGTTGAAGGACCGCGGCGGTGGAGCAAGGAAGAGAAAGATGGAATTAATTTTCAATTAGGGTTTTTTAGTTGGTTTGGTTTAAGTTTTTTCTGGTTTAATATTTTTGTAAACCAATTTTATTCCCGGTTTGAGATTTTTAATATAATATTATTTTTAAATAAATTTAAAATTTATAATTAATATTAGTTAGTTAATTTTAAAATAATTTTCCGTATTAATTTAATTTTTAAATTAATTTAACTAATATTTTTATTATTAAATGGTGAAAATAATTCGTAGGAAATAGGAAGGTAAAATATTAAATGGTGAAAACTAATCGCAGGATATTAGTAGGAATTTGGTCAAAAGTTTCTGACAAAAGTCTTACCAAACTGTCCGTAATAAATTTTTTACGGACTTTTTCGTAGTAAATTTTTGACGATTTTCATACCAATTAAAATTTCCGACGGCCGATTTCATATAACTTATTTTCGTAGGTATTGGGTAAGAAATGACTGTTTCCTACGCTTTAACGACGATATTTGCCGTAGGTTTTTGGCCTGCATTCTTGTAATGGAAAGACAACATATTTCGATCTCCAATTATTATCCAAATAGCTTGAAAGAGGCATATCCTGTAGAACAAAAAAAAAGACATACCAAAGCAACTATAACTTATTTGCTTCAAAAAGAGTAAAAAAAGATAAAAAAATAAAAGAGGTTTGTGGTAAAGATACCAAATTGTTTTTGTCCACTGGGTGTACTATTAGGTTCACTAACTCAGGTGAATTTTGTAGTAACCTTGCTAGACCAGGAATAACAGATCGAACAAATTCCATTTTAATGATCAAAGTTTTGACTTTGAGCACTCTGAAGTGAACACCACTGAGCGCCGCATGAGATAGAATCTAACATATCAATTGAAAACAATGACAGACAAGGTTAACGGCTTAGAATGGTATGTAGCTTGTTAATGTTTAAACATGGTGATTACATAGCATTCACAATAATAGCATGAAATATAAATAATGAAAACTAACAAGTTTCGACCAAAACAGAAAACTAACAAGATATTATCCATTCAATTCCGCATTTTTCAAATTCGTATGTATAAAACTTTATTCATCTAATAAACAGTGGGTTTGAATGGTATGTAGTTTTTCAAACATGATTCCGCTTATTTTCACCATTTATACTACTCATCAGATTTTTACGTTTTCACGTTTTTATAAAATGATTCCGCTATATATAATTAGCATTTATAATTACAACTAGAGAAAACAAAACGTGATTAATCTACTAAAACTAGTTTTTAAGTGAAATTTCATTTAGTTCATTTTTTTTTGCTAACAATTTTTCAGTTTTTCAATTGTTATGCAATTCATGTGACATACCAGTCAGACCTAGTAGCTTTTTGAAGTTTTAAGTTCAATCAGTTTTAACTCTCGCTTCCTAATGATTATGCTAGTTTACTATTTTGTTAGCAGACATACCAATCAAGCTCTAAATCTCTAAAAGAAAAGCATAACATAAACTATTTTGACAATAATTACTTAGCAAGTTCCTGTTTTCAGAACAGAAAAGTATTTGTAAAGCATGATTGGATTAGATTTAAGGATGTAAATTGAGCTGTGGAATGTGTCTACGGTCATTACCAATCACACCCATCATACTCTCATAAACAATGAGACCTTAAATCATCATATCAAACAAAGAGTGACTCTCCAAGGACTTTATAAAGTTGTAACCCTTAATTTTTTTTATTTTTTTTTTATTTTTTATTTTTTATTTTTTATTTTTTGCATTCTCGCTTCCTTAATTAGAGAATGCAAAAGAGTGACAAATAAACATACCTGAAGAACGTTACTCCAACGAAAAGCTTCTCTACATTCTGAAATTTTTCTAGCATGTTTAGCACCATGCTTTGAAGAAAATCATCCTTCGATGAATATGTGTAAATGCGAATGTCAAGGTTGGCTTCGATCAAAGAAGAGACATCCTCTAAAGTTAACAGTTTTTCAGAGATTTTCAATCTCAAATAATGGATATGTGGCGCTACAATCTCTGTTGGTCCATCATGATAACAGTCACTGCGATTTATGTCCAGTCTTGTCAGACTTAGTGACTTACTCAGGTCAATACGCTGAGGTAAATGACAATAATACAGTGCCAAGCTTACGAGATTTGGACAACCAGAGAGAATCTTTTCAATCGATTCATCTTTAAGCCTACAACGACGCAGTGATAGGTTCCTTAGTGATTGCCAAGACACTGTGCATGTGGGAATCAAATTATGTACATAATATTCCATTTCTAAGCTAAGTTGCTTTATAGAGGAACAAAGATAGAACAACTCCGGGAATCTATAAGTATGACTTAAAAGTAAGTTCAAAGACAGCTTCTGCACATTCTGGGATATAGCGAACTCGATCCATCTATCAAGCTGTGTTGTAGGATGATAACGACGACGGATACTAAGATGAAAACTCATGATTTTGGGAGCTGTGAAGTAAGTTAGGGTTTCGTTTATCCCTTGATCCGTTGGTTTAAGGCCTTCGATGTAGAGAGAAGGATTCTTGCACCATACATGTCTCCATCGTTTGGACAAGACAGAAGTTCTGATGGCGTAAGTGATGGGGACAAAAGAGAGAATTTGGTGGAGGATATCATCTGCAGATGGAGCTAATGAAATCTTCTCCTGATGGTTTTTTTTTGCGGCGTTTTGTAGGGTTCTTACGTTTTTGTTTGTGGCGCCGTCTACCTCGCTTATCCGCCATTGCTAACTATGATTTGCAAAATGCTTTTTTTCTTCTTAGGGTTTGGTTGTTTACGGCACACGTTTGTATTAAACTAATGTGACTGGGCCTATTACAGGCTATTTTATCAATGAATGTAAAATGGACCTGTGTTTAACATAAGCCCATCAGAGCTAAAGTCATCGTCTCGTCGCCGTCTCTTTATAATCTATCTGCTTCTCCGGGAAATCGGAAAAAAACCTTAAAAGAGTTATCGAGCTCGAAATGGATTCCGTCGAATTGAACCAATACAACCATTCTTCGCATGCCCTAGATAATCCTCCTCCTTCCTCTGAAGCCCTAGATTCCTCCACTGCTTCGGATCAACTAAATCCTCAGATTCCGACTTCAGAATTCACGCGCGATTTGGTATCGGAGAAAGGCGTGAGCAAGACGATGAGCGGAACTGAAAAGGATCAATCCGGCGGAGAAGAGGAGAACACAAGCCGGAGTAGGAAGCGTCGAAGCCGGTGGGACTCTTCTCCACCGAAGCGTAAATCGAGATGGGCAGACGATGAGCCGAAGCCGATAATCCAGCTTCCCGATTTCATGGAGTTTGATCCCGAGGTTCAGGTTTTGAATGCTAGGTTACTTGAGATTAGTAGGATTTTGCAGTCTGGTTTGCCTTTAGATGATAGACAAGAAGGACAGAGATCTCCTTCACCAGAGCCAATCTACGATAACAATGGAATTAGGGTAAACACTAGAGAGTATAGAGCAAAGGAGAGGTTGAACAGAGAAAGACAAGAGATTATCTCTCAGATTATCAGCAAGAATCCTGCGTTTAAACCCCCTGCAGATTATAGACCTCCCAAGCTCCAGAAGAAGCTTTTTATCCCGAAGAACGAGTTTCCAGGTTACAGCTTTATCGGTCTTATAATTGGCCCCAGAGGAAATACTCAGAAGAGAATGCAGAGGGAGACAGGTGCTAAGATTGTGATTCGTGGTAAAGGCTCTGTTAAAGAAGGTAGACACCAGCAGAAGAAATTCGACCCTTCGGAGAACGAAGACTTGCATGTTTTAGTCGAGGCTGATACTCAGGAATCTCTTGACGCTGCTGCTGGTATGATAGAGAAGCTCCTGCAACCTGTTGATGAGGTGCTGAACGAGCACAAGAGGCAACAGCTCAGGGAGCTTGCCACGTTGAATGGAACAGTAAGGGATGAGGAGTTTTGTAGATTGTGTGGTGAGCAAGGGCATAGACAATACGCGTGTCCTTCGAGTGCAACTACCTTCAAGAGCGATGTTCTTTGCAAGATTTGTGGTGATGGTGGACACCCTACTATTGATTGCCCTGTGAAGGGTAATACTGGGAAGAACATGGATGATGAATATAAGAACTTCTTGGCTGAGTTAGGAGGAACTGTACCTGAATCTTCTCTCAAACAGAGTGGTACGACATTGGCTATTGGTCCGGGAAGTAATCCTCCATGGGGTAACAGTGCTGGCTTAGGGTCAAATCCGATCAAACCCTCCAAAGAATATGATGAAACGAATCTGTACATTGGGTTTTTACCTCCGATGCTTGACGATGATGGTTTGATTAATCTTTTTTCATCTTTTGGTGAGATTGTGATGGCAAAGGTGATCAAGGACCGTGAGTCTGGTCTGAACAGAGGCTATGGTTTTGTAAAATACGCTGATGTCCAGATGGCTAATGCTGCTATACAGGCAATGAATGGGTATCGGCTAGAAGGTAAAACACTTGCTGTGAGGATTGCTGGTAAACCGCCACCGCCTACTTCACCTCAATCACGCACTCAAGCTTACCCTCCTTCAAATCATCTGCCTGGTGCCTATCCTTCACAGCAGTATCCCAGTGGCGTGCGACTGCCAAATCCTCCTCCTCCTCCTGTTCCTTCCTATTACCCATACGCTCCTCCACCTGGTTGTTACCATCCTGTCGCTGGTCAACATATGTCTCCGTATGGTATGCACTACCCACCACCTCCTCCTCCTCATATGGCACAAGCTCCTCCACCGGGCACTGCTTCTCAAAATCCACCTTCTAGTGAAAGCCAGCAAAGTTTTCCACCAGGGGTGCAGCCAGACAAAGGTGCTCCTGCTTCATCTGTGCCACCGAATGTCTATGTTAGCTCAGTTACAGGTTTGCCTGGGCAGCCTCCATATATGAGTTATCCTTATTACAATGCTGTTCGACCTCCTGTACCTGCCTCGTCTACTGATCTGGGTAACATGACATGGGCCAACAATCCTCCTGTTCCAACAGTTGATCAGTCACAAGGTCTTGGGAATGCACCCTGGGCATCGAATCCTTCTATGCCGACCACTGATGACTATTCACAGAGAATGGGGAGCGTACCCTGGGCTCCCAAGCCGCCAGGACAGCCATCTGCAGAGAATGCGTCAGCTCCTGGAGATTCTGAGTATGACAAGTTCATGGCTGAGGTGATGTAACATGTGTATTCTGAGGAGAAACTCCTTAGCGGAGAGGTAAGATGTCCCCATTTGATGTTTTTGTTTGGTCTCCCTGCAGGTTTTGAATCGAAATTTGAAATTGAACCAAGTTTTTTTGGCAGATGAAAAAACTTTTTTCCCTCAAAGTTCTCGCACGTTTTAGAAAATATATTTTCCCAACAACATTTTTTAGACTTCTAGTTGCAGGATGGACCAAGTCCAGCATGTTGTGTGATACTACCTTTTTGTCCATCCTTTGGTTCTTGAAAGTCTTCTGCTTATATATTCCTTTTTACGTCTTTCTCTGTTCCTAGTTTTGTCACATGATAACTAATTGCTGTAGCTCATTAATCTGGTCACTGGTGTGTTTGCGAGCAACTCCACAGCTAAAGGAGCATCTGTCCTGGTATTCGATTCTGAAACATACAATATCAGGAGTTTGTCTGCCTTGTCTTTTTTTCTGTCTCTACGCTTTTTGCTCTGTGTTTATTCAGTAACTCCTAATGTTTTCTCTCCCAAAGTTGTTTTTAGTTTTTTTTCCATTTAAAAATATCTATACTCCCCACTGGCTTAGATTCCTGAAGTTTCTCTCTGTTATTGTACGCGGTCATTAACAGAAATCTTTGTTTTGCTATTGTTAATATTTTTCAGGTGTGATGTTTCGTGGAGCTTTGTACCGTGATTTCTTACATCTTCCTTGTTGGAGGTTTTGGGACTCTCATCTTCACTAACCCTTGCTATGCTGTTGTGAAATATGCAGAGATTCAGGCTAGAAGCTCCACAGTTTCAGACAATTGCGTTTCAGAAAGGGCATACATATTTCTTTATATTACTGATAATAATTGCTGTTCTTTTGTAGGACTATATTTGTCTCGGGTTTCTTATTTTATTTCATAATACTATTACTTGCCTGTTACCAGTGTGTTAATTCTGTCTTCAGCTCTCATTTACTCACGATTTATTCTCTACTTTTTCAATTTGAGACGCTAAATTTTTGTTGGTATTGTAATCCGAATCATATTTATGATCCTTTGTGATACGAGATATGATCTTCTTGCTTTTGAGGTCACAGTATGAAGGCAGCAGGATGTGTTGAGTTACTTTGGGCATATTGATGCCAATACTACGCTACTCTCCACCTTGATTCAGTCTTATATACCGTAATCTCTCTAATATAATTATCTTCGAAGCTTCCATGTCGCAGGTGTGATTTCTGGCTAGTAATCCAGATTAACAAGGCAATTGTTCTAGTGGCCAGCTTTATCTTCCTCTGTTTGCGTGTTATAAGTCAGCATTATGACTTAGCTTTTGCAGGGGTATTCATAGTTACTTTAAGAACTGTGTGGTTGATTGGGGTATGTAACTTAGGTGAGTACTCAATTAGTTCAGGAAACATGTTTGGAATCTCTCTTGATAGAAAGCTTGGTAAGTCGGGGCAATGAAGTATTATTACAGTCACTGTTTCAAGTGTCGCACATTTGATTATCTTGCATTTAGAAAGCTGTTCCTCGAGCGTGTTGGATTCTGTCTATAAAGAGGGTTTGTAAAATGATCTTAGTTAATTAAGTGTTTGCTTACGTTAACTGGTTGGGAGGTGTAATTTATGATAACTAAGGAGTAGAGATGTTTGCTGATGGAACATAATCATAGTCTGGATGAGTTTGCTGCTTTGCTTTTTGACCACTCGCTCTACTTTTTTTGTTGGGTTCTCTTTTCTATTATGATAAATCGAGTTTGAGTTTTGTAACTGGTCAGGTCAGAGGATTTAGTCAATTGTGGTTAAGAAGGGAACCAAGCTTAAGGTACTTGTGCATTTGGAAAACATTTACCACCATCGGAAGCTACTTGGGAGACAAAATATTCTATAGCTTCAGACAAGTTTACGCTTGGGATAAAGACTCTTTTAGTTTGTAAGAGAAGACTGTTTTGGTTTCCTATATATAAACACGAAGGGACAAAGCACCAAAGCAGAGAAAACTTCTGCTAAATGATCACAAGTCCTTTAAATTCAAGTAACCTTGTTTTGGGACCTCAATTAATTTTGCAAAACGCATTAAAACCCAAATTGAACGAGAACTCAACCGACACTAAATAATTTGAGTAGAAGTGGTTCAATTCATTTCCAAATTTCCAATTTTGATTTATATAACTCAATAACAAAGTCTATGCAACACATAGCTCATAACGGACGTTTTATTATTTATAAGAGAATATTAACAGAAACTAAAGGAAGAAGAGAGAGTAGTAACATCACAAGACGCAAATATCAGCTATTCAGCTTCATTCATGAAACACACGTCACGACTTTAGTTAAGAAGAACTTTATTTTTCTCTCTAAAAGCTTCTACTACTTCTTCACCGTGGCTGATAAATGTGATGGTTTCGGCGACAATTGAAGTTTGGGTTCATGTACTTGCTCGTCTTCTTATTGTTATACTTCGGAGAACAAGAAGAAATCGACACATCTGATCTGTAAATCTTCCCTTTCGTAGACTCCACCATACTCAAAAGCACCTTCAAGTACCTAGCAACATCTAATTCTGGCAGAGAAGAAACCACAACTCGATCAAATACTAAACGCATATTTGTGCAAAAAGTAACATTTGAAAACTATCTAGCCTCAGATCTGAAAAATTCGAATCCAAGAGTTAAGTGTAATTTCGTTACCGGTCACTGTAGATCCACCGATCTCAGCCTCCTTTTCCGACGAAGACATGATCAGCTCTTCGAACTCTTCCTCCATATCCGAGAACTCATCGTCGTTGCCGAACTCATACTCCGAGTTGGCACTGAGCCAAAAGTCACGGAACCACTTGGAAGTCGTCACCAGATCCCACCACTTGGGCGAGAAATCTTCAACCTCACGGAATCCCACCGGATCAAACACCGGCGCGTTCGGATTCAGCGTCGACGACACACTCCGATCTACCACCATCGCCGACATTTTCCACCTCAAAAATCACAAACGCTGCTATAATAGGGTTAGAAATCCAGAAAATTCAAAATCATACGATTGCAAGTGATGAGACAAGAAATCGGAGTTTATATAATTTACCTCTCGCCGATTAACGAGTCAATAGTGAGTCTTTAGTGCGAGTCACACTTTTTGAGTACTCTTTTTGAAGTGTGATCAGAGGAGCTTTGGCACGTTTTTAAAGAAGAGAATAACGAGTAGCCGGTGAACCGGTAAGAGTTACCGGCACGTGTGAAAGAGAGGATGACAATCGGACGGTCGTGAATGATAAGAGGGTGATCTGACGGTGTCGAAGCGTATAATAATTGGATGTATAGGTTACTGGATAAGATATTTCTTTTTTATTATTAGTATTATTTTCTTTGGATAGAGTGAATAAACTAAAGATATTTTTTTTTTTTGCCACTATAGTGGGAAATTTCTAGAACGTAGCACAAGGCTTAACAAGGAAAAGAAGCTAAACGTCATGGGTAACCTAGACCTGTCTGTTTTAATAATCGGGACAAAGCAGATAAAGATAGGAAATGTATAATCCGATGCAGAAATTTTGGATAATGGGACATATTTGGAAAAATTGGAAAGTTTAAACACTAGGTCAACCTTACTAATTTTGGTAAAGATTACTGTTGAATTTTTGGAACAGATACTTTAAGATTTACAGAAAATTAGGTTTTTTTTAAAAGAAATTTGAAAAATATTAAGATCGTTGGTATGCCATTGTTACACTCTTGATCAGATTAAAAATTAAAATTCAAAACTAGCACTAATTCGCTGATTATTCAGTATACTCTGACAATTCCGTGAAAATTTGACCATTCATAAACTGTAATCGTCATTTTGATATAACTCGTTTTTGTACAGTTTCAATTTCTGTTAACTGATTAATAAAACGCGAACCACAACGAACGGTTCTCCTTACACCACTCTAAAAACCTAAACTTCTTAGTGTGAAACATAAATGAATTTTTAGTCGATCACTGGATCAAGGAACTTCCACATCTATTTTTTTCAAAAAAAAAAAAGAATTATGACCATGCCAAAAAACCACAATTCCAGTTTTGTTCCATCAAATTAGTTTAGGTTGCAAATTTTAGTCAAGCTCAAAATTCTCTTTCTTTCAAAACTAGGCAGATTTCCTCAATCTCTCGTTTGTATTTTTTTTTCTTTTTGCTGATGAAGAAAGAAATTGAACAATATAAAAAAATCAATTAAATAATATATATATATATTTATTTGAAGGTCCATTAACATTTTTTTTTGACCAAAGTCAATTATTATTTCCACAATGCAAATATCTCAGTAACATTATTATACATAGCAACCACATGATAGTTCAGTGGCGCTGACGGACGCTTTAAGACATTCTCCGCTAGGGAAGTGTAATTCAATGCATTTCTTATTGCAGTCTGGAATCTTCGAGCAAAGACCTATCACAAAAAATCCATGTCTTTGTGAATCGTCAGCTTCTGCTGCTTCTGAGATATTTATAAAAACTTAAATCAATTATATATGTAAAAACATAGTAAAGCATAAAATATGTTGTATAAATGTGAAGATTATTTAGCTTTGAATTGAGAAAAAATGGATTTCTTTTGTTGCATACTTGGGATCAAGAGAACAGTTAGACACAAGAACACAAGAATAAAACATTTGCTTGATGAAGCCATTTTGCATTTAGTTTCTGTATATTTTTTTTTGTATTTTGTGAATGAAATATAATTGAATAGTTTAAAACACTTGAGTATATATATATATATGCATATATATATATATTTAAGTATTTAACTTCTAGGGATTTGTATTGGTCAAACATATATCTTTCATATATATAATTTTCTGTAATATTTGGATTTTCTTTGTCGGGAAAAATAGAGTAATATTTTGATTACTTTTATTTATATTGAATATTTTGGTCAACAGGTGTATTCCTTCATATATGTCAATATGTCATTTCCTATAATATTTGAATTTTCTTTGTTGGTAATATAGTAATATTTGGATTTATTTTTATTTATAAGAGTGGCTCTTCTTCTTGGTTCTTCTTTGCTCTTGTTTATGAGAGTAACTATGCATTTGTTTGATTGCGGTAAGTTTGAGAATCGAGAAAGAAGTGTTTGATTCTTCTTAATCGATTGATGGGAGAGGAATGCGTACATGTATCAGTGTACGGGTTTCATTGGTTTTAATGTTGGTCTCTCAACATCTTTATAGTAAAAGAAGTTTTTCTTACGCATTTTTGTCACACGTTTCATAGAATCTAGTTCTCTGATAACAATGAGTTATGCGTTTATTAGTATTTTTTACTAGTTGAAGTGTGACTCATTGCTATTAGAAAACTAATTTCTATTACAATACGTATGACAAAAACGTGTAAGAAATATTCTTCTCCTATATAAGAATGTTGGGAGATCGACAATAAAAACAAATAAAATAACAAACTGATGAATAACTAATTAATATTAGAAAAACTAGCTTCTTTGATACATATACACCATAAAAACCGTTGTTTTGATGTATATCATTGAACTAGGCTATGTCTATACTTTACACTATATAAGAGTGGTTTGTGGGAAAAGGTTTAAACATGAAATATAAGATGGTTCTTCTTTTCTCTTCTTTGGGTGTAGAAACCGACGGATAGTGAGACTTTATACTCTATTATGATTATTTAGAGTATTATATATATATATAAACCATTTAATCTCTTTATTAATGCATTTGCAAATTATTTTCTATATATATATATAAATATATCAACCATTGAATCTGATTTTTATCATGGTAAAAAATAAATATAAAATAATATAAACTAAATTCAAAAATGATACGAATTGCTAGATAAATATGAGGGCGATGTGAAGACCGATTACTCCATATTGCTTCAGTTGATCTTCAAATCTAGTTTTCTTTCAATAAAAATCAATTATTTGTTTCTCTCTTCATCTCGCTAACAACAAGAGGAAGATTTGCGGCGGTTTTAACAGAGAGTCATGGGTGATCAAAAACGTTCTTCGTCGACATCAACCGTTTCACTTCATCGCTGTCTGTTTCTCCCCTGGTATCAAGCCTTCTTCTTTGTTATTATATTTCTGCTTATTATCAATCCGATGTCGATTCAGCAAACATTGGGTGAGTCGTTTAGACATTGGTTGGGTTTATATCTATTCGATCTCAAGTCAGAATTATTGATGCAGTGATTGGAGGAAGATGTTGTATCATCTACATCCAATACGTTATCTCCGACGTGGTACCCACGATCGATGGCCAACAACAATGGATTTCGAAACAAGTTTTGGGGATTATCCCAAAATTAGTTAAGCGGCATCGTATTCGGTTTTTTATCTTCTTTCTATTAATGGAAGATAATCCCACGGAGAAACTGCAAGATGAGATGATGGTGTTTTGTTACTTTTGGCCATTGAAATATGATGTCGGAATCGTAAGGGTCAGAGGTAAAAGATGGAGTTCAACATCAACGGAAGAAGCTCTTGGATATAACGATTCTAGTTTGATTTTTTTCGGAGATTTATTTTGTTACATATGGCATTTCTATGGAAACAAATACAATGGAAACCGCACTGGAGGAAACGGTGGTTTGGAGTGCAATCCTCCTTGTTGTATGGCGACATTCGTACAGTCGTTAAAAGTTGGCGGTTCCAATATTTTTTTCTTTCGAAAGAATCAGTAAATTGGGTTCATATTCGAAGAACATCTTTAGTTCTTAATTGGGAATCGGTCAATGTAATACAACAAGGAAAAAGATGGACAACAACCAAAGATCAAAATCGCATCAGATCGAATGCGATCAGGAAGGAAAGAGTGGATATTCTAATTGCAAGCAAAGTTTGTCGAAGAAAAAAAATCATCACATTCACTTTCGTTGTTTATTTGTATTGTAATTTTCATATTTTTATGTATCTTAGTTTTATGTATTTTATGTAATTTGAATATTATATAAATAAACATAGATGTTAAAAAAAAACTAAATTCAAATTTATTTTAAACATCATATATGTATACATAAAAATAATATACACCTTTTAATTTCATTTTTTTTACCATGTGATATAGTGATCATATTTGAACTAACAAAAATAATATATTCACAAAAAAACAAAATAAGTACTAAAACTAAAAATAAAAAATAATAGGTTAAACATTTATTAAAACTGAAGAATTTTGTTTTAAAAAAAATATGATCTAGAAAATACCAGACACAAAAGAACATTCACCAAATAATCGAAAAGATAACAAATTATCAAAACTAAAGAGAAAAAATGACAAAAATAAAATAAAGTAACAAATATATATAAATCTTATAAACGCATGGATAACATAGATAATCAATGAAAAATATGTGAGAACAAAACATGAAAATAATAATTGCAAAAAGTAAAAATGATTGCTAGATCGATATTTCAATAAAAAAAAGTTAAGAAAAATGATAGAAAGATTCCTAGCTAAGACCATTTAGAAAAAAATATATAAATATATAAAAGAAATCATAAAAGAAATCAAAAGTTGAACTAAAAATTAAAAATATAAATAAACACAAATTCAAATCTGTCCCAACTATTAATTCATATAAACTATTTCATTTAACTTTAACATAATACAAACATTAAATCATGAACATAGCTTAAATCAAATTTAAATTTAATTTAAAACATTATAAGTATAACTTAAATCAAATTTTAATTTAATTTAAAACATCATAAACATATGAATAAAAAATAATTCCAGATTTAAGTTCATCTTATCATTTAGTTTTTTTGTGTTATTTAATCTTCATTTTCGAACTAATAAAGCTAATTTAATCTCAATGCAAAAGAAACAAAAATTATGAGACAAAAATGGAAACAATTGGCTAATCAAATTTCAAGTACCTAAAGAATAGAAAATAAGAAGAAGAAAACCACAATACCAAAAATAAAATTCAATAAACAATTGAAAAGATAACAAATTATAAAAATATAGAAAAAGACAAAAATAATATAACAACAAATAAATCTATAGAATATTAAAGATATTAAAAATATAAGTAAAGAAGATGAAATTAGTGATATATATACATATATACACATATTAAAAATATATGTGTATATATATATATTTTTAATATGTGTGTATATATATATATATATATATGTGTGGAAAAAAACCTAAAATGGTTAGAAAGTTGATAAATTAGCACTAAATCGTAATTTAGATAAAAGACTTCGAAAAATAATGGATGAATAAGATTATTAAAATTAACAAAAAATCATAAAAACTAATACAAAAAATTAAAGTTAATGATTTTTTTTCTAGTCATTTTAAAGCATAATTGAAGTAGATTTAATGTTATGGAGAAAATTATGACTATATAAAAATTCTTAAGCACTTGCTAATCAAGCCCATAATTACGACAAGTACCTACAAAATAGACATTTGGCCCAATACCTTTGCCATCCTCCCCATTTCTCAAAATTGGAATGTGCAGGTTTACATATACCCAACTTGAGAAGAAATGTACCAAACTTTTATTGTCCGAGGTTTTGGTCATTATATCAGCTAGTTGTGTCGTTAGAGACATATATAGTTGTGATTGTACATGTCTCGTATAATCTCATCATTCCAGATAAAGTGTCCAAACTTGGAGATGAACCATAGTTTTATCAAAAAAAATATAAACCATAGGAGGCAGAACATTACAGATGAGCTCAAAATGTGTTTTCTTGTGGTGGATAGTTGTAGGTGTCCTATTTATTAAGTAGCTGGAAGCTGCCTGAAATCGGAGAGCTCTAGCGACATTTAGAATGTGACGATATTTGCGTTCTACGCATCCATTTTAGAGTATCGACGCAAAATGTTTTCATGTGTAATCTCGTTTTGAGCGAAACGTTGTGACAAACAGATGTCCATAGTAGGATCAACAGAAAATAAGGATATAATTAATTTTTTTTCGCAATGAAAAAAAAAAATTTTAGAAAAAAAAATTCAATAAATAATGGAGGAAACAAGAAAAAAAGAATCAAAGAAATTAAACAAATGTTGCCGACCCTAAACGTTTCCTTTTTTCTCTCTCTGTCAGGGTACAATTTCCTTTTTGTGAGTTCCTCTTAATTTCCTTTTTGATGAGTATAGGAATAGGAATAGGGTACCAACGGTCGAAATCCACTTAAATGTCGAAACTGTAGTAATATTATGATAATTGATATCACCGACCTAAACCGTAACTAACTCTATATAAGTCTTACAATATCCTTTTTTTTCTCTCTAAGCGTATTTTCTTTTGTTTTCCACTTTCTCTGTCACTGCGAATTTCTCTTAGTTACTCAATTCCTTCTTTGTACCTCAGTTTCAAAATTTGAAGAAAGCTCTGTCTTTGCAAATTGAAAGATGCAATCAAACGAAGAAATCGTGAAGTTCTTGGGAGAAGGTGCTTACGGTTTTGTTAATCTCGTCAAATATACTAAACGCGACGGCTCGTCGTTTCATGCCGCCGTGAAAAACTCTTACGCCGAGGACTTCGAAAATCTTCAAAAAGAGCTTCAGATTCTTTGCCAACTCAGAGGATGTCCAAGAATCGTCGAATGCTTTGGAGACTACTTGGAAGAAGGTTTCAGCTCTTACGGAAACAAAGTTTACAAATTGCTTCTCGAGTACGCTTCTGAAGGTAGTTTACGTTCTTTCATGGACAATTACTCCGACAGGAAATTGCCTGAACCGATGATAAGAGACTTCACGCGTATGATTCTCGAAGGTTTGGTCTGTATTCACGGACACGGTTATGTTCATTGCGATCTCAAACCCGACAACCTCCTTGTTTTCCCATCGAGAGATTCTTCATCATACGAACTTAAGATTTCTGATTTTGGAAACTCGTTGGAAGTCGGAGAGATTCCTCATTATTGGGGATTCGATTTACCGTTTTTGGGAACGCCGATTTACATGCCGCCGGAGTCTCTCATTGACGGCGTCGCGGAGAAAACCCTAGATCTTTGGTCGTTAGGATGCTTAGTGTTGGAGATGTACACTGGTGAGATTCCATGGCTTGGTCTCGATATTGATGATCTCGCGTCTCGTCTTCTTTATGATGAAGCTCCAGAGATTCCAGAGTGTGTGCCTTGCGATGCGAGGGAGTTTATTGAAAAGTGTTTCTCGAGGAAACCTGAGGAGAGAGGAAGTGCGTCTGAGTTGTTGTCTCATCGGTTTTTGCGTCGAGAAGAAGAGGAGAAGATGGAGAAAGTTATCGCCGTTGTTGAAGAGAGAAGAAACTCGTTTCTATTGAAGCTGAAGCTGAGAATCAGAGGAGCTTCGAAGAAATCGGCGGATGTTTCAGAGAAGAAGCCTCTGAAATTGAAGATTGTTCCATCAAAGGCTCCATATTTTAAGAAAGTTTTGACTAAAATCTTGAGGTTGAAGACAATGGATTCTTATCTAGTTTGCGTTTAGTATTGGATCGAATTATATGTATTTCAGGTATCTCAATCTGTATGTTACGTACAATTAACTGTTGATCTTGTTTCGTCTTTGTAGAATTTGTTGGATAGTTTACATTTTTCTTTGCTAAATGTATGTTTGTTAAAGTGTTAAACTTTGCTTAATCTGAAAAGTTTTTTCTATCTCTAGTAAACTTGATTCCACCACTTCAATCTCTTTCTTAACTGCTTTTGCTTTCTTCATTAAGCACTCACCATTGTTTATCATCTGCTCATGACAGATTTGCTTAAGAGGCTCTTATAACAAATTTAACCAAAAAAAGTTGGCTTACATGAGTTTTTGGAACACTGGGTTAACCCACAACATCAACTAAAACAGATCGTATAACTAATCCCAAGTAATCATCTCTCGGTACTTCTTCCTTTACATTGCTGCAACTATATCCACGTTACAGTTGGTGACAAAGTGGATGACATGTTCATATTGAATCTCATCCTTCACCACCGTCTTATTAATGAAGTAAGCAACTGCAACAACATATATAAATTCACACATTTAGTATATCACCTTCGAACATACATATGACAAATATTGAAGACACGTAAGAAACAGCTCCAGCTTTTTACCAACAAATCCAATTTAAACCAAAAGAATGGACAGAAAAAGGCATTCTGGTTTTGTCTTACTATCTATAATCACAACATACAAACAACTATTATATAAAAGATGGAGGAGGCTTTCCAGGAATTACAGGTATCATAGAGGATACTGATGAAGCAGAAAATAGCTCCGCAGTTAAAGGATCAAGAGCAGGAGATTCAAGCATGCTATGAAAATAAAGGAATCTCTAAAAAAATTTATGTTTAGGAAAGTTGTTTATAAATTCTCATAGTTTACAAGTTAAATGTTATTTCTGATTTTTTTTTTTGCAGAGGCTGAAGAAAAAGATCAAGTTTAAGTCAAAGATAATTTTTACAAATATTTATTTTATAATTTTTTGTTTATTTGAACAAAGCGTTTGCTGTTATAGTTTTGGATTAGATTTTTGCTATTAATTACTTATTTACTTATGAAATATAAGATATTATGTTTTCTAAAAAGTTTATAATATAAGTTGGATTTTGTTTATAATATAAGTTTTTTCATTTCAGAAAATTTTATTTTCTTTAAGATATTATGTTTTCTAAAAAATATGTAAAAAAGATGTAATATATATTTTAAATTTATAACATACATAATATTACAAGAATTCGATGGTTAATTGTTTTAAACAAAAATTGTCAAAATAATGTGACGTGGCAAAGGTGATTTTTAGGGCGATTAGGGTTTTGCTTCTAGAGTTTTTCTTCGGCTGCAAGCATGGCGGCGCCGGCAGACTCTCCGCTTCTGTCTCCGGCAAGAGATCGTGTGGAGGCTCCGGCGATCAGTGTTCAACAAAAAACTATCGAAGTGGAAGGGAAAGAAGTGAACTCGACTATGGTTTTGGAGAATTTATCATCATCAGCTCCGTTGGCTTCTCAGCCTGCATCAAAGCCTCTATATTCATCCATCGTTCAGAACAAATCTGGTCTGCTTAAGCATGATCTGTCGATCTCTATGATTGAGGGTTCCCCTTCGGTGGAAATCCCAGTTGAAATTATTGAAGGTTCAGTACCTTTATGAGATGAGATATTAATCGGGAAATTCCTCTCCCGAGCTCCACATGTTGCAAAAGTACATGTGATCGTTAATAAGATCTGGCCGATTGGTAATTCAAACACAAAGGTGAAAATTTTTGTAGTGGATGAAGAGACCACAATGAAATTTAAGATTCGCGACAAAGCTGTCCATAACAGAGTTATTCGGAGAGGTATGTGGAATATTGCAAATGTTCCAATGGTGGTTTCGAAATGGTCTTCGGTGGTAGAAAAAACTCAGCCTGCTATTCAAGTTATGCCGATGTGGGTCACACTCAAAAATGTCCCGCATGAACTGTTTCATGAGAAATGATTGGATTTTCTTGCAAGCGCAGTAGGGAAACCAACAAGGCTTCACCGGACACGATCATATGCAAAACCTTTGACGAGGCAAAATTTTTTGTGGAGGCTGATCTTACCAAGGATCTGCCAAAAGAATACCGGTTCACATCAGAGATAGGGATTGATTCGTTTGTAGAGTTTGAATATCCGTGGCTCCCTCCTAGATGTTCACACTGCAACAAATGGGGTCATCTCGTTGATGGATGTATGTTGCTAGGTGGGAAAACAGTGCTAACGAAGAGAAACGTGGATGGCACAAACAGTCTTCTCCTTCCCGTAAAGATAATGATGGTGGTGTTATTCTTTTAGTCAAGAATACTTCTGCCCCAGAAGTAGATATCCTTGACATCAACAGAAATAATTCTACCAATGAGCCTCTACACAAACCGGTTGAGGTTGAAAAGGGTGGTACGGCAGTAGTGGAGAAAGTTGTGACCAATGACAAAGAAGAAGGTGAGTGGTGTTCACCTAAAAAGATCAGCAAAAGCTGCGAGAAATCTGGTGAGGTGGAGGGCAATTTCACGGTCTCTCCTTTGAGGTTCAGTGCCCTTGATGATTCGGAAGATCAAGGAAATGAGACTGGTGTAGTGGAAGCCACTGATTTTGAACGCGAGCTGGTGGATACGGGCTCTAATGCACCAGCTGAAGAAGATGTTATTCCCACTAAACAAAGTACGAAACAAAAATAGAAGGAAAAGCAAGGGTCCTGGAACTAGACCTCCACTACCCCGAGCTTCTAAAGCAGCAAACAAACCTTTGGTAGACTCCGTTGCTTCTAGTGCTATATATTCAAAATCTAGTGCTTCAAGTAGAAGAGGACCAAAGACACAAAACTAATCTATGTCGGGTTTCGTCTGGAATGTTCGCGGCTTAAACAAATCATCTAAAAATTCCATTATTAGAAGCTGGATTCAGCAGCATGGGTTTCAGTTCGGTGGGTTTTTGGAGACTATAGTACAGGAGGGTAAAGCAATGAGGATTACAGCATCTGTAGTTCGAGATTGGTCGGTAATTTCAAACTACGAATATAATCGTCTTGGCCGCATCTGGGTGGTTTGGAGTCCCAAGGTGAGGGTCACGATATTCTTTAAAAGTGGTAAGATGATCACAGTTTCATTGAAGCTTGAGGATAGAGAAGAAGAGTTCTTTTGCTCTTTCATCTACGCTTCAAATTTTTAGGAGAAAAGGCGTGAGTTGTGGAGTGATATTAGGGATCATCATAACTCCCCGATTATACGATCTAAACCATGGATTTGTCTAGGTGATTACAATGAGATTCTTGATATGGAGGAGCACTCTGATTACGATCAATCTCCTTCTCTTACAGGGGGTTATGAGAGACTGTCAAAGTGTTGTTCGATATTGTCATTTGGAGGATTTAGCTTATCATGGTCCTGTTTTCATGTGGTGCAACAAGAGGGATGAGGGCCTGATTTCAGAAAAACTCGACAGAGTCTTAAAGAATTCAGGTTGGTCTCAAACTTTCCCTCAGTCTTATAGTGTCTTTGAGGCCGGTGGCTGCTCTGACCATCTGCAATGTCGAGTTCATCTGGATGTGGAACAGCCTGGGGGTAAACAGCCGTTTAAGTTTGTCAATGCACTGGTGGATTTTGTGGAATTCAAGCCTATGGTGGAGGGCTTATGGAGTAATACTCAACCTATTTTTTGTTTGACGTCCTCAATGTTTCGGTTCACAAAGAAATTAAAAGCTCTCAAGCCATTGATTCGATCTTTAGCAAGAACAAGAATGGGTAAATTGACGAAAAATACAAAGGAGGCGTTTAAAACTCTTTGTGAGAAACAGGAGGTTAATGCTTTTAACCCTTCGACGCAGCTCCTCGAGGAGGAAAAGATTGCTTATCAAAGATGGGACTTCATTTCGAGGTTGCAGGAAATTTTTTTAAAACAGCAATCTAAGATACATTGGCTAAAGGTGGGTGATGGGAATAACAAAACCTTTCATAAAGGAGTGACTGCACGTGAATTGGTTAATTCCATTCGAGAGATTAAACGGCGTGATGGAGTACTGGTATCGACTAATGAGGAGATCAAGGCGGAAGCAGAGGGTTTCTTTAGGGAGTTCTTACAACATGTACCCACTGATTTTGAGGGAGCCTCGCAGGATGTTTTGGAGGATCTCTTGCGCTTTAGATGCTCGGATGATGACAGGAGCTTTTTAGTAAGCACAGTTACTGAAGATTAGGTTACTAAAGTACTTTTTGCTATGCTAAGCAACAAATCTCCGGGACCTGATGGTTCAATGCAGAGTTCTATATGGCTGTGTGGTCTGTTGTCGGTAAGGAATTCATCCTTGCAGTACAATCATTCTTTCATAAGGGTTTTTACCTAAAGGCGTCAATACCACCATCTTAGCTTTGATCCCGAAGAAAACATTTGCAGTAGAGATGAAAGATTATCGCTCAATTTCTTGTTGTAAACGTCATCTACAAAGTTATCTCGAAAATCATAGCCAATAGACTTAAGTGCATTCTTCCTAAGTTTATTGCTATGAACCAATCGGCGTTCATCCAGGATCGACTTCTTATTGAGAACCTCGTCTTAGCTACTGAGCTAGTAAATGATTATCATAAGGAATCTATCTCTGCTTGATGTGCTATCAAGATTGATATTTCAAAAGCTTTCGACTTGGTGCAATGGTCGTTCGTCCTTAATGCGCTTAAGGCCATGAATTTTCCAGAGGTTTTTATTCAATGGATCTCTCTATGTATCACCACAGCGTCATTCTCTGTTCAGTTTAATGGAGAACTTGCAGGGTTTTTTCGTAGCAGCCGAGGGTTACGGCAAGGATGCTCGCTATCGCCTTATCTGTCTGGTTATCATCCCAAGTGCAAAAACTTAGATCTTAATCACCTAAGCTTTGCGGATGACATTATGGTGCTAACAGATGGGAAAGTGCGATCAGTTGAGGGCATTGTGCGTATCTCAGGCCTCAAGATCAGTATGGAAAAGTCGACTATGTACATTGCTGGTGTCTCTGAATCGGTTCGAACTGAGCTAAACAACAAATTCCACTTTGAGATGGTCAGTTACCAGTGTGTTATCTGGGTTTACCATTGCTAACTAAGCAAATGACACGGAATGATTATCAGCCTTTATTGGTAATGATTCGAAAACGTATTAGTTCATGGACAGCTCACACATTATCGATTGGAGGTCGTTTACAGTTAATTCGCTCTGTTTTGCTCAGTATTTCAAATTTTTGGCTTGGTGCATATCATCTTCCTTGCGAATGCATTCGGGAAATCGACAAGCTTTGTTCAGCTTTTCTTTGGTCTGGGCCTGAGCTTAACTCGAAGAAAACTAAAATGGCATGGGAAGATGTTTTTCGGCCTGTAGCAGAGAGAGATTTGGGTCTTCGACCTCTCAAAGAAGTTAACACGGTCTGCTATTTAAAACTGATCTGGCAAATTGTTTCATCTCACTCCTCGCTCTGGGTAAAATGGATACAGACATATCTCATTCGAAAAGGTACTCTCTGGTCAATTGATGCTGATACTAAAGCTGGATCTTGGATGTGGAGATTCTCAAATATCGTCAGCTTGCAAGTTCATTTCATCAAATGGATATTCAAGGCGGTGATACAACAAATTTTTGGTTCGATATTTGGTCTGAGTTGGGGAGAATCACCGACATGACTGGGCCTCGAGGCATTATCGACATGGGTATTCCAGCCACTGTGACAATTGCCTCTTTGACTCGAAGACGTCGGCGACGACACATAAACGATATTCTTAATGAAATTGAGAATGTTCTTCATCAGCAGTTAACAAAACTCAAGCCAGGAGTGAGCGATATTGTGCTGTGAAAAAATAAGACTGGATCTTATAAGTCTGGGTTAGCTCGAAAAATACTTGGTTACTAACTCGACAGGAATCAGGAAGAGTTTCTTGGTCTTCTGGAATTTGGTTCAAGTATTCTACGCCAAAGTTTTCAGTATTCTCATGGTTAGCAATCCATGATCGGTTCTCGACGGGTGATCGGATGCAACTGTGGAATGTTGGTGCAAATACATCTTGTGTGCTCTGCAACTCCCCATTGGAATCGCAAAATCACCTGTTTTTTGTCTGCTCTTATTCTGCAGAAATTTGGTCTGGCTTAACAAAGGATCTGTTCAAGAGCAGCTTCACATTTGTTTGGCAAGACCTTGTTCACCTCATCTCTGCAAGTCAGCCTGATCGCAACACTCTGTTTCTGCTGCGTTATTCCTTTCAAGCTGCAATTCACTGCATCTGGAGAGAACGAAATAATCGACGTCATGGAGAAGCTCCTCGATCAGCTCGCTCTATGATTCACCTCATCGACAAATTCATTCGCTGTCGGATACAATCTATCAAGGACCTGGATGATCGGAGGTTCGAAGATACCCTGCAACTATGTTTTGCGACAAGATAGCGCAGCTATTGGCTTAACTTTCTTTTTAGTTACTTGATTAAAAAAAACGATGTACTCTGATGTAAAAAAAAAAGTTTTTTTTTGAGGTGAATAAAATTTTACATTCTTTAAAAATAAATAAATAAAACAAACAAACACTATACCCTAAAATGTGTAAGCAGATTCTTGAAAGACTTATAAGTGTTCTTTGATGATTAATTTGGCAAACGGCATGTGGCTTGTGCCAAATAGAATTGAATCGTTTTTGTCTTTTAAGTAAGTATCGTACCTTCAAAAAATTGGTAAAAGAGTATTTGGATTTTTGAGAATAAGCCATACTCCTTCCGTTTCATAATAAGTGTCATTCTGACATATTTCACACAGATTAAGAAATTAATAAAATATATAAATATACCCCTAATTAATATACTTTTATAACATTTAATTACAAAGACTATTATCTTTAAATGAGGGATAAAACAGGATATAAGAGTAAAAAGTTACATTGAAAATGCAGAATGACACTCTTTTTGAAACAAAAAATGAAATCTAAAACGACACTTATTATGAAACGGAGGGCGTATGTGTAAGACTCAAATCTTAAATTTATTTTGTGTTTTTATAACAAACATGTTCGCTACTCTTGCTAACATTGCATTTAATGAAAAAAAATTATCAGAGAAAAACTACTACGTTAATAAATGAAAACCATCAAACAAACAAATAATGCCACTGGATTTTATTTCCGTTACCAAAAGAAAAGGTATAATTAAAACCGCGTATATCCCAAAAAGAAGGATATAATTAGTAAACAAAATAAAAAAGTGAAAAGAAAATTTCCTTTTTTTTTCCTTTGCTTCTGCACGTATCTCTCTTTCGCTGAACAAAACTGATCACAAAAAGGAAACAAAAAACCGACAAGACTTAACACTCTCTATATAAACAGAAGTAAACGTAAGAGAAATAATAACCTAAACGCTTACAAAGTCTCTCTTGTCTTCTTCAATCTTCAATTTTGAGTTCCCTATTTCGAATTCTTGTGTTTCTGCTATCTCTAAGAAAACAATGGCGACCGCAACGAGTAACGACCACCAACAGAGACTAATCTCATCTTTCATAGAGATCGCTGTTGGTCAAACCTCAGCCTGGGCTTTCGGGTATCCGGTTCGGTTCCGAGTAGGAACCGAACGGTTCCGGGTATTTTGGTTCTTAAGGTTTGGGATCCAAATAGGTACTGAATTAAATTCGGTTTGGTTCCAATTCGGTATCTATCGGTTCCAGATCGGTTCGGGTATTGAAGGATAGGAACCGAAAAATTTCGGTTCTCAAAAAATTGTTCGGGTATTCCATACCCGAAATCACCAAAAATAACCGAAATCTTAAAAAAAAACCGAAATCTAAAAAAAAAATAAACCAAAATCAAAACTTTTTTTTTCAACTGACCAAAAAAAATGAAATCCGAATAAGAAATCCCTAAATCGATTCATTAACAAAGAAGAAACGGAAACAGACTCATTAACAACGCAAAAGTTAGCACCCAGACATGGACTCATTAACAAAGTAGAAGTGGAAACAGAAAATCCCAATCGATTTTATTTATACAAACCCTAAATTGATTTTCAAAGTAAGACTCTCTATCAGTCAAGACTAATTTGTAGTGAAAAACGAAAGAGAGAGAGAAAGAGAGAGAAAATGAAGTCAATTTCAAATATGAACAGAGAGAAACAGAAAACCCCAAATTTCAGATTTGAAAACCATAAACTATATTTCTATGAAAAGGAGATGGAGAAGAAGCCTGCGAAATCAAGTGAGAGTTATTTCTATTTTTTTTTTAATTTTGTGTATATGGTGGATAATTGGACCACAATGAGAATTGGAAAAAAAATTAGTGAGTTCCTTATTATATGTATAAGCCCAAACGTCAAAAAAATATAAAAGCCCAAGATCTACTTATTAAAAAAACAAAAAAAAAACATGTTATTTTAGTCTTGGAAAAATGTAACAGCGATTAACTAAAGGGCCTCAATTGAAGAGCCCATTAAAACAATTTCAAAGCCTCTCTCTCCATCACCATCCCCTTCCTCCTTTCTCTCACAGTCTCTTTCGTAGCAATGGCAAAGAGTTCATCTCCAGTTATCCAAAGAAACACATTATTTCGGGTATCCGGTTCGGTATTTCGGTTCTCGGGTAATATTCAGAACCGAACCGATATCCATGGATCCTAGATCTAAGATCCAATGGGTATTTATGCAAGAACTGAAACCGAACCGAACCGGTGATTTCGGGTCGGTTCCGGTTCGGTTTTTCGGTTCCGGTTTTTTATGCCCAGGGCTAGTCAAACCATTGAAACCGCTCAACAATTCCTAAAGGCAACAAGCTGGAACCTTGAAGACGCCATTAACCTCTTCCTCGTCCATGGACAGAACAAAACTCTGTCATATCCGCAAAACTCATCAGAGCAGTATTGGAGTGATTATCAAGAAGAACAACAAATCCCTCCTCCTTTACCTTCGATTAGAGATACTCTCTACGATTCTTCTTCCATGTATCATCAACCTCCGGTCCAAGTAGGTCCCGAGGAGATCTGGGACTTGAAACAAGAAGCGTCCGATTCGGGATCTGTTGTTGGATCAGAAGATTCGAGACTGTCTTCTTTGTACCGTCCTCCTCTGAAACTTCTTTTCCAAGGCTCGTTCGAATACGCGAAAGCAACTTCTTCTAGAAAGAATCTATGGCTGCTAGTCAATCTCCAGTCCACGACCGAGTTTGCTTCTCATATACTTAATCGAGATTTATGGTCAAACGGTGTCGTTTCTCAAGCCATCGAGTCTAGCTTCGTCTTATCGCAAGTCTACGATGATACCAACGAAGGACAGAAAATCTCTACTTTCTACAGAATCGAATCTCTTGCTCCTGTGGTGCTTCTCATCGATCCAATCACTGGTCAGAAGATGCATTCATGGAGTGGTGTGATCGAAGCCAAGAGTTTTCTCGAGGATTTGGCGAAGTACATGGATTCTGGTCCTCACGAACACGTTGCTTCTCTGACAAGCAACAAACGCATAAAAACAGAGAAGGTTTGTTACGAAAGCGACCAGACTTCTACTTGTCAAGACATGTCTACTTTCTGGGACAACTTCTTTGAAGAGTCAAGCAACAACATTGATCACATCCTCTTCGAGTCTGTGGAGGATGACACTTTCTTAGGGTTTCCAGTTTTGACAGAAGAGCCAAAAGGAGACTGCGATCGAAGCGTTGTGTGCAGTCTCTGCATTCGGTTTCCAGATGGGAGAAGAAAGCAGAGGAACTTTCTAAAGACCGAACCGGTTCAGCTTCTCTGGTCTTTCTGTTATTCTCAGATGGAGGAATCCGAGAAGAATGCGTTCAAGCTTGTCCAAGCGATTCCTGGTTCTTCCAAGACTTTGGATTATGGAGCTAACGCGACTTTCGACCAATCTGGTCTCGCTAATTCGTTGATCTCGGTTACTTGGGAGTGAAATTTTTGACATGTTGTTGAAGTAATTATGAAGGATCTTTACATTCTTGTACCTCTCCAGACTTTTGTTTCGTTGGTCAATTCGATTATTAAATTCAAACTTGCAATTTTTAAAACACATATCACTCTTCTGCTTCACTATTGTTGAATTTAATAAGTTGAATTAAATCTGATAAATATGCCAAGAGCCCTTTTCTTGAGCGAGCAAAGGAACGTAACCAACTTCTATTAGAATCGGGTTTTGGGGCATTATAAATACAAAGGTCCTAACAGTTTGTATTATTCATTCACCCAATAATATAAAAAATTAAAACCCTAAAAACATTATAATTTTTTTTTTGACTTTTTTTCTAGTCTTGATTCCTTCCAATTTTCAGTAGCTTTAGGGATGTTCAATTTGGATATCGGTTCGGTTTCGATTCAGAATTTTTTCAGTTTTTGTTTTTTTTTTGATTTTTTGGTTTAGAAGAAATAACTACGATAATGAATTCATATGTTATATGGTATAATTCGGTTTGGACTCTCAGTTTTTGGTTTATTATTTTTGATACCAAAAAAATATGTTCGAATTAATTTCAAAATGTGTGAGTTTTGATATGATACCAATAAAAATAAATAAAATTAGTGAACTTTTCTGCACGTCTTGCACGAGATGATATAATTTTTTATTTAATTGTTTGAAAATCTAATAATAGTTTAAATTTATTTGTTTTTTATTTTCTGTTGAGTATATTTGTTTGTTAGTTTTTCTTGCAGTTTAATGTATGAAGACGATCGTGAAAACAGTATAGACGATAATAGATAAAAACATACTAGTATCCAAATAATTTAGTTTAGATAGTTTTGAGATCTTTTGATCATTGTTCTATGTATTTCAGACGTAGTTTTTTGAAGTACCGTACGAACTTATTCGATTTTTATCACTGTTCTATGTATTTAGACCTAGTTTTTATAACTACTGTACAAACTTATTCAAAGAAAAAAGAAGAGGTTAAACAATTTAGAAGGGTGTGAGAGAATTAGAAAGAAGTCGTACACATTTGTACTAAAATATTTGAAGTCAAAAAACCTAATCTAGACATCACAAATACCATTGTTCCCTTAGACTATTTATCGCTTTTTATTTTTTGTTAGATTTTTACTAAATTTCGGTTTTATATAATTTTAGAAACGGTTTGATTGACAATGTAATTAAACATTAAACCATAATAATTTAGACCGTTTTGTTTTAAGTTATTTTAACACATCATCAGATAAGAACCAATAAAAAAATGACATGTAATTAAAAATGAGGTTGAAAGGTTTTTTTTGCGGCTGAAACTCATTATGGAGATGACACGTAAGCAAAACATTGTGGAGCCGACACCTAAGCAAATCACTATACAAATAAGTGACATTCCATTAGTTAGAGATGATTTTTTTTTAACGACATTCCATTAGTTAGATATATAGATTTCCTTTTTTTTTAACTTTTTTGTTAGATTTTTTTTTTAATTTTGGTTTTTTAAAAATTTGGAAACAGTTTGGTTTGACAGAAAAATTAAACATTAAATCATAAGAATTTATAGCAATTTGTTTTAAGTTATTTTTAACACATCATCACATAAGAACCAATAAAAAAATGACACGTAATTAAAAATGAGGTTGAAAGGTTTTTTTTTGCAGCTGAAACTCATTCTGGAGATGACACGTAAGCAAAACATTGTGGAGCCGACACCTAAGCAAATCACTATACAAATAAGCGACATTCCATTAGTTAGAGATGATTTTTTTTTTTAACGACATTCCATTAATTAGATATACAGATTTCCTTTTTTTTATTTTTACTTTTTGTTAGATTTTTTTTAATTTTGGTTTTATAAAAATTTGGAAACAATTTGATTTGACAACAAAATTAAGCATTAAATCATAAGAATTTATAGCAATTTGTTTTAAGTTATTTTTAACACATCATCACATAAGAACCAATAAAAAAAATGACACGTAATAGCAAAATGGGGTAAAAATAACTTTTTACAGCCGAAACTCATTTTAGCGATGACACGTAAGCAAAACAATGTGAAACTCGCTGTGAGCACGACACATCAGCAAATCAGTACACAAATAAGTAGATAGATTGCTTTATTTAAAACTTAATTAAATTAATTCTATTATTCTATATTAAGAAATGTTTAAACTTTACATATTAGATTTTGAAATTTTATACTAATATTATATATAAGTATTTATAATGATATATATAGTGTATACTATATACTATTATACTAGTTAACTTTTCGCGGACTGATATAATTTTCGGTTGTTTGTAAATCTAATAGTAGTTTGGATTCATTTGTTTTTTAATTCTCTATTGTTGAGTATATTTGTTTGTTAGATTTTTTTGCATTTTAATGTTTGAAAACATGATCATGAAAATAATATAAAAGAGAATAAATAAAAACATATTAGTAACCAAATAATTTAGTTTCAATAGTTTTGAAATCTTTTGATCATTATTCTATGTATTTTAGACATAGTTTTTAAAGTACCGTACGAACTTATTCGATTTTGATCAATGTTTTATGTATTTTAGACATCACAAATACCATCATTTCATTAGACATTCTATTGATTGATTTTTACTTTTTCGTTAGAATTGACTAAATATAATTTTATTAAATTTGAAAAAAAGGTATTCGTAAAAAACCGTGTCATGAGACTCTGTTGGAGATGGTCTAAGACATCAATTATATTTTGTTTAATGGTTTAGTATTAAACAATAATAATTTAAACATGGAATTATTTTTTTATTTAATATTTGTTTAGAAAAACATTAGTATATGTTTACCTGATAACTCCATGAGTTTTTAGTTAGAACGAAGAAGAATGAATAGGTTAGACAATTTTGAAAGTTATGAGAGAATTAGAGAAAAGTGGCTGATATTTATACTAAATCATAAGAAATCGAAAACCCTATAAATATAAAAAATTGTAAGCACTAACCTATCTATCATAATAATTAGCGACATTTTACTAGTTAGAGATGATTTCTCTTTTCTTAAACAATATTCCATTAGTTAGATATATGGATTTTTTTCTTTTACTTTTTTATTAGATATTTTTTTAAATTTTGATTTTTTTGTTTGTTTTGAAACGACAATCCATTACTTTTTAAATACATTCTATTTTTTTGTTTCTTTTCATATTTTTGTTAGATTTTTTTCTAAATTTTGGAAAAAATCAACACTAACCTAAATATCATAATTATCGAGAACACTAACCTATATCTATTTTTTTTTAAATGGTCGATGGGCTTTATACACCATTTCATAAGAGATATAGTTTCTATTTTACGTTTTTGTTAAAAAATTTCTAAATTTTGGTTTTATATAATTTAAGAAACAGTTTAATTGATTACAAAATTAAGCATTAAACCATAATAATTTAGACCGGTTTGTTTTAAATTTTTTTACACATCATCACATAAGAACCAATTAAAAAATGACACGTAATTACAAACTGAGGTTAATCGGTCTTTTTGCAGTCGAAATTCATTCTGGAGCTGACACGTAAGCGAAAAGCTGTGAAACTCGCTGTGAGTGCGACAAATCAGCAAATCAATACACAATTACGTATGTAGATTTTTTTTGTTTTTTAAAAAAATGTTTTTGTAAAATTTTTTTCTAAATTTTGGTTTTATATAATTTTAAAAACGGTTTGATTGACTATGTAATTAAGCATTAAACCATAATAATTTAGACCGTTTTGTTTTAAGTTTTTTACACATCATCACATAAAAACCAATTAAAAATGACAAGTAATTGCAAATTGTGACTAATCGGTCTTTTCGCAGCTGAAACTTATTCTAGAGCTAACACGTAAGCGAAAAGCTGTGAAACTCGCTGTAAACGCGACATGTAAGCAAATCACTACACAAATAAATATATAAATTAAATCAAGATTTAGAACTAATCAATTTTTTCAGTTTAGTCGGTTAATATTAAAACCATATATCCGTATCCTACAATTTTTTAAAAATGAAATCCATTCGGTTTATATGGTAGAACCGAAACCAAACTGTATTGTTTCAGTTCGTTTTGGTTCAGTTCGGTTTTATCAGATTAAACACCCCCTAGTATGCTCATCAGTTTAAACAAATGTTTCTTATTGAAAACATTATGGGATTGGTTGGATTTAATGAAAAAATAATAATTACGAAACACATTCAAGTTCTTTAATAAAAATGTTTAGTTAGTTTGAGATTGGTTTACACTTTACAAACCAGAAATTGACAAAAATGAATAGTAGGCCAAGGAAACAAAATACATGAGATAAGCATTTAATTTCTTGAAGCCCCAAAAAAAACCCATTATAATTGAGAATCCATCGAGTCACAATGAAACAATACTCTATCTCTGCCAATCCGGAAAATCTGCAAAAGAACAAAATAATAATCTGATTCCTAAAACAAAATAATAATTAAAGCAATCAATATTTACAATAACCGCAACATAGGCCCAAAATTATATGCGAAAAGCGCCAAGAAGAGAGGTAATCTAAATTACCTCAAGGTAAGTAGCAACCACACCCGAAGGTAGGGTCGAAATTGAACAACCACAGAGATAACTCTGGGAAGAGAATGAGCCGCGAGTTTTTAATTCGGGGCTAATAAAGGTACCATCGAACCCAGGTTGGTGTCAAACGTTTGAAAGAGACACAACCAGTGAGGGTGGGATCGAATTGGTGACATAAGCTCTAATGAAATTGTACTTAAACGCTCACATATAACCAAACGGTTCCCGGTTTAGATCCGTTCGTTTAATAATTTCACAAACCCTGAAACAATTCGAGGGCAAAGGTCACTGAATGAAAGGACATTTGCATCTTCTTCATCGTCTAATTCATCAACTCAGTGTGTATGTGTCGTTTTGTTTTTCTTTTAGTCCTCAAATTTTGAACCTCGGTCTTTGTTCTTGTGGATTTTGAGATTCAATTCAAATCCTTCATCTTTGTGAAAAACCA